TCACGGCTAGACGGGGAGAAGTCGCATATCAGTTACAGCTACCAGAGAATATCGCTGATGTGCACCCAGTCTTCCATGTGTCTCAATTAAAGAAATGCTTACTAGTGCCGGAAGAACAAGCTCCGCTGGAAGAGATTCACATTAGCAATGATCTCACGTATCCAGAACACCCGATCCGGATATTGGATGAAGCCGAAAAGAGGACTAGGAGCAAAGTGTGGCGTGTGTACAAGGTACAATGGAGTAATCACACTGAGGACGAAGCCACCTGGGAAAGCGAAGAATTCCTGAGGACGGAATACCCGCATCTATTCGAAAACTGGTAAGAAATCTCGGGACGAGATTTATTTAAGGGGTAGGTTTGTAACACCCTGAAAATTCGACCGACAAAAATCTAAACTCTAAAAATATGGGCCTTCAAAAACTTTTTAAATAAATTGCATCATGCCGATTTTATTCGCCTATTTCATTGGATTTTGATTTTGGAGTTTGTTGATCGCGAATAAAGAATAATTAATTGGGAATAAAACCTAAAATTAACTGAGCAAAATAAATAACTGAAATATAATTTAAAATAAAGGTTGAGGTGGGGATAGAAATGAATAAAATATTACCGCGATCATATTTGTATTAATTAAATCTAAATACAACGGAATGAGAATTAACTCTAATTAAAATCAAGTAAATTATATAAAAATAAAATATGGGTACAATTAATCTAGAGTGGATCCATTGGTTGGGATAATACACATATTGAGTAAACTTCATTTATGCAACATTTAGAAATTATAGAATCAAATTTATATGGGAAATAAACTAAAATTGGGATAAATAGGAAAATACACTATTCATTATGGCGCAGGTGTTCGATGCGGACCCTAGCCTTCCCCCTCCTCTCCCACCTCTGCACCCTAGCCGGCCTTGAGCCCCGCGATGCCGCCGCCCGTCGCGTCGCCGCCCCGCGCCGTCGCCGTCGCCGTCTGCCGCGCCGCGCGCCGTCGCGTCGCCTCGCGCCCCGCGCCCCTGCCCCGCCGCGCGCCCGTCCTATTGCCGCGCGCTGCCGTTCCGTCGCCTCGCGCCCCGCGCCGCTGCCGCGCCGCGTTGCCGTCACGTCGTCCGTCCCGTCCCCGCGCGCCGTCGCCATCACCACCCCGCGCCCCGCGCCGCTGCCACGCCGTCATGTCGCCACGGCCGTCTGCCACTCGCCGCGCGCGTCCCGTCGCCGCCTCGCGCCCCGTGCCGCCACTGCCGCGCCGTCGCTGTCGCCGTTCCGTCGCCGCGTGCGCGTCTCATCGCCGCCTCGCGCCCCGCGCCGCCGTCGCGTCACCCCCTTCACCGCCCCCTCTCTTTCTTTCCCCCTCTCCCCTATAAAAATCCCAACCCCTTCCCCCTTCTCCACCCCACTCCATTCCCTCCTCCTCTCCCTCTCCCCCTTCTCCACGTGCCGCCGTCGTCGTGCCGCCGCGCCGCCGCCTTCGAAGCCGCCGCGCCGTGCGTCGCCGCCTTGCGCCACCGTCGTCGCCGCCGCCCCCCCCCCCCCCCCCCCTCTGTGCGCTCTGTCGCCGCCGCCGCCTCGGGTAGGGAGAGAGCGAGCCGAGAGAGAGAGGAAGGGAGAAGCCGAGGGAGAGAAGGAAGAAAGAAAGAAGGAGAGAAACCGGGAGGGAGAGAAAGAGAAGGAAAAAAGAAAAGAAAAGAGAGAAAGAGAAAGAAAAAGAAAAAGAAAAGAAAAGAGAGAAAGAGAAAGAGAGGAAAATAGAAAAGAAGAAAAGGTGCAAATAGAAGAGAAATTAGGGGAGAGATTAGGAGGATTTAGGAAATAAAAATGATCGGGGTTAATCATAGATTATTTTTGGAAATTCCTAGAGTGTAATAGTATTTTGATCGAAATTCTAGGTTAATTATAGAAATATGTTTCTTGATCAGATTAGATTAAAATTGGTAGTAATTTAGATGTAATTAATAACTAAACAACAATTAGATGAATTCTTATAGATTATTATAGATTATTTTTGGTAATCTCTATAAGTCATCGATTCACGGTAGAAATTCGGATTTAATTACTAGGAATTTTAGCCGTGTATTATATTTAATTGTTTAGTCATAGACTAAATTAAATCGTACAATATTATATATTATAAGATAATTTTAGGATTCTGTCCGATATTTAGCTCGCGATAGAAATTTCTACCTATTATATGGATGTAATACCAGGGCGGATTAAATTAAAAACTTGTGCTAATAAAATAATTATGCCACAAAATAGTTTGAGGATGGATGGAGTTAAACAAACGGAGTAGCTCTATTTCACGAACGAAAATAGATAATGTAAGAAACCGACTTCCGCGCTTGATATCTTCTTGGATTTACTTGGATCTTTATTTGAATTCTAACCGAATTCAAATCGTTTCTTCGCACGTAATTATAGAGCCCGAGGGAGTTGCGGATCCAAGCGAAGGACAAGACCCGCAAGACTTTGAGCAAGGCAAGTCATCACTATTCCTTGAACATGTTGATCCCAACTGCGAAATTATTTTGTTTACAAATAAAAATTGCATGAAATGATGAACATCCTACTTGCGATTATGCCATGCCTTGATTATTGTTTACCCCCTTATTTCTTCGTAACCATGTTTACGTATGGGTCCCTAGTCAATTATGACAATTGCTTAGAAATGCTATTTTAGAATCATGCATACTCATATTTATAAAATGTTATATGCTTGGGCAATTACCTTTGAGAAGGTAATTGAGATACGGCATGTGGAGACATGAGCGCCACATTGCCCTGATGTTGATGACATAATTTGTGGAAGGAGAAATAAAATTAAACAACTGTTTTCGACTGGGGCGGACAGAGGATTTGGGTGGTATCCGGAAAAGGCTAGCACCGTCCCCGGTCAATTAAGGACCAAGCCATGAAGTTAAGCATGAAACGACCCCCGTACAACCGCACTTCTCGTATAGGTATAGACCTAGCGGAATAGATAGCTGAGCAGAGGCAGTATCCATGCATAGTGGTTTCTTGATGTGTGAGGCAGGGGCTCTACGGTGGGGCAGCCATTGGTAGGACCGCGAGGCGGGTGTCTACAGTGGTGTCGCCATCGGTAAGACTGCCATGTGAGAATCTAAACATAATTATAACCTAATGCATGTGAGAGTCTTCCTTTCCCGAATGCGCCAGAACTCCTCTCACTGCTAGAAACCGTGTACGCCTAGAGTGCATGAGGATGTAAAGTTCATGGAGCGGGTACTGCCAATGCGAGGTTATCGAAAAGCTTTGCCGTGACGCGTCTCATGTGTTGGGACGAGGCTCATGTGTTGGGCAGTTTCGGAGTGCGGGTAAAGTGTACATCCACTGCAGTGTGAGTAAATCAAATCTATTCGAATAGCCTTGCGCGCGGTTATTGAGCATCGGGACATGTATTACACTTGGCTAGACTCTAAATTCTTAACTTGTGTGGAATGGGATATTGCATGATGATTTCTATGCTGATGGAGCCACTTCCTGAGAGGCGGGAATGTGGACGTCCTCAGAAAACCATGACGACTCAATGGCGGGAAGCTATCCTTGGGATCACAATGGATGGTGGACAGAACCGTCGTTGTTTAATGAAAACACTGGTACTAAAATTTGATCAGTCTGTGCTAAGTCTTAGGCTTGTGAAAAGAATTACAAAACTTGCTTTGCGCAAAAGAACCATAGCCATCCTTTGAATACCCCTGTCATATGCATTGTTGCTGTGGTGGCTTGCTGAGTACGGTTGGTACTCACCCTTGCAATATACAAACTTAATCAGAGGTCGGAGATGAAGCTTCGGAGGATCCCTATGCCTATTACCAGGAGGGTGATGAAGACAATGGCGCTCAGTAGGTCTTAGTTACGGCCGTTGCCTGTGGCAATGGCGTGCCGCTGCCTTAACTCCGCTGCCTTATCTACTTCTGTTTTTAGGATGTATTCCGGACCACTCGGTCCGATGATTTAAGTCTATGCCTGCGGGCTTATGATGTAATGATTCGTACTAGACACTCGTGTATGTGTACTTGGTATTTCAGCTATGAATTCGTGTGTACCAGACTACTTGATCCAGGGAAATGGTACTGTTTACACGATTGATTCCTATTATAAAAACGGGGGTCCACATTCACCCAGCTCCACTCCCAGTTTTAGTGAAGCTGAAACTGTTTAGCTGAGCTCCAGCTCCAGGAGGGGTGGAGCTGGAGCTGGAGCTATGCCAAACAGGCGCTAAGTAGTTGGAGCTCTACCAAACAAGCTCTAGGTATGCTCCTACGAGATTGCTAATTAGACTTTTTTTCTCCCACCGCTTTCTTCTTTTTTGTTTTTGACACACCATATAGTTTTTCTTTTCGGGGTAAATTTATATACCTAAAGCTTATACATCTAAATTTTACACATCTAAAATTGGTTAAAAGTTTATGTGGCCGATACAAATTCAAATTCAGATTTAAATATTTCTACGTAGAATATTTCTATACATAAAGTTTATACGTATGAATTTTACAGTATATATTTATAAGTATAAAGTCAATGTACATATATATTTTTAAGGGTATTAATTTTTTTTCTAATTTTTATTTTTTAATTTGTTTCTTTTAAAATTTATGGTGCAATAGGAAGGGAAGAAGGGGAGTAGCGTGAGTGTTAGGAGAGGGATGGGGGGCGATCACCTGTCCATTAGCCCTCCCCGTGCTCTTGAGCCTTACGTGGGGAGCATGCTTCTTCTACTGTGTGGTAGACCCTTTTTTAAAAAGAAAAAACGAGCCCGGGTTTAATTTGAGCCCGAGTTGCCCCTGATGGTCGTTCTTCAAATGTTCATTTGACTTTGCTAAAGACAATATAATTCAAATTAATGATCTCTTATACTTGATACTGCTGAAGAAAATTCAAAAATTAATGTTCCCTTATAAATTTGATGTTTAAATTGTATGACTTGATACCACACATGATTATTTGTATTATCTTTATTTTACAACCCGTTACAAATTAAGCACGAGCATATGAGTATCAGACCACTCATTTGAGATCCTTCTTCCCTCAGGCATGATGTATGTGCATAACAGATGTACAACGTATAGGATGTTACTGCTGTAAGTTTTGAGAAATCACTAGTCGCTAGTCTTCCTGGGACGAGAAGTAGTCCAGCAGCTTGGAGGACAGCTCCGGCCACACGCGAGTCGGACGGTGCTTTCTGTTGAGGCAGATGATGGTGGCCGTCGATTCCACAACGAGCTGCCATTGCATGCATCAAAAATTAATGTAGATTAACTAAACATACACCTTTTGTTCTTAAAAAAACCAACTTCTAGTAGTAAAACTAGGCGAGTTCAGTTCAGAGTTATGGAACGGAGGAAGTATCAATTATATATGGAGGTAGCATCAAGTATGTGATTATGCATGTTAGACACGTGTTGTACTGAAAATGTAGGCACACGAAAAAAACTCAATGCTGGCTTCTCTTTTCGCCAAGAAAAACGTGCAGAGCTATGGGCCTATGGCAGCAGCACTCAGCATGCACGGGCGGCATTTGCTTGTGTGGGCACTGCTGGTTACCTTGCGATCCGGCAGCCTCTCGATGTATTGTTCGGCATAAATCCGTGCTCCCTTGATCCGTCCAAGTGACAACCTAACAACAAACTTCTCGCCTCGCTGCGAATTGAACAATGTTGCAATAAATTAGAAGACATGGTAAAACATTGGGGTTAATTAATTAGCCATCTCCAGAGACTTTGGTTCTAATAATTAAAAATGGTAGTTAACAAGAAGAACGCATATGTTTATACCGTGATTAGGGATGGTAATTTTATCCACGGATCCAGTATCCAACCCGATGAACACGGGTGTGGGTATGATTTTTTACCATGGGCACGCCTGGCCAAGACCCGGAGACGTTGTGGACAACAACCGGGTTTATTTTTTTACCCATGGGTAACCCATGCCCAATCGATACATATGTATTAGCTAATTTCGACTTATCTCTTAATTCTTATACCTTTTTTTTCTTAGTCTATTTTGTGATCCTAACTGATAATAACTTGGGATGTAATTTAAATTATTGTTGATAACTCATAATTTGATAAATTATTGATTTTGTTTCTCTTTGTTAAATTATTTATCTTTCGAGTTATTATTCATATGAGATCCATTGGGTATTCATTGGGCATGCCTGTACACATTGGGCATAGGTATGGGCACAGAGTTTTGCCTGATAACCCTAGAGGGTAGGGTTTAGGCAAGCGATATCGGGCATCAGGTCAGACATGGTTTTTCTCAATTATATCCGTGCCCAACCCAATCCATTGCCATCCCTAACCGTGATATTTAATTGTTTATACCTTTAGAGGGGTGAAGTACTTAATGTTGAGCTCGGTGAGTGCCATCGCGTTGCCTGTGCACGCTATCGAGGTTCTGCTCATTCCAAGGCCTGATATCAACTCCTCTCGTGCTGCACATGCACGTAAGTGATTTAATTATTAGAGTGATTGTTAATTCATTCATGGGTACGTTCATGGGTGCAACAACTGATCAACCTCGTTCGATGTAAGAAGGATAGACGGTGTTGTTGACAACGCCGTACTGGTCCAGATCGCAGTCCTGGACGGTCATCTCCAACTCGAAGAACTTTCGCGCCCTGAATTGCACATCAAAATACAAGTTAGAGAAATTAAAAAGATCATCAAGTTAATTCAAGGCCAGATACATGGTTCATTTTAAGAGATTTAATTAACGACTGAGTAGAATAGAAACCAAATGTTGAACAAGAAGCTAAGAAAACCACAAAACTTTAAATCTTGATGCCTACAAATATTACACACATAATGCACTCTTCTATAAGAATTTAGTGAGCTTGATATTTGTCACTGGCATGCATCTCTGTCATTTTAGCTAGAGTCTACCAAGAAGGCGCATTTGCGTATGTCATGTGTATAGTACGTAATACGTATGAGCATATACATCTTTCATGTAAATCGAAGAAAGAAAATGTATTGAGCAGAGAGAGGAGGCAAAATGAATATATATTTAGTTTGGATGAACCTTGGTTTGGCGTCCTGGTAGGTGTTGTTGGCGGAGATAACAGCTTCATGGGAAAGGAGGTTCGGGGCGGCTATAGCTTCTTCAAGGGAACGGAGGGTCGGGCCGGTGGCAGGTATAGCTTCAAGGGAACGGAGGTTCGTGGCGGCGTAGAGAGCCCCTGCACGGCGGCCATCCGAGTGGTCGACGTGCAGCAGCACGCCGAGGTGGCCATGGCTACGGCGTGACGACCCAGCTGCTGATCCGGCGTGCTGCGGGTGGCAGCTGGTGTTTGGGGCGAGGCTAACGCTTGGCTGCTGCATGGTGAACCAACAACCGGTACGCGTGCTTGATCGATCTAAGCTGGAGTAGCTAGCGCCGCCTGTGAGGCCGTGAACCGTGTGTTGATCGATCGATCAATCGATCGTTCTATACGCGACTACACTACGCCTTGTGTGTGCTACTCGACTGCTACGCCTGTGTGTGTGTGAGCCGTGTGCTTTTGATCGATCTCCGGCTTCGAACCGTCGTCTATTTATAGCTGCTTTCCTAACACAACTGTCATATCACACATCATATCAATTCGTATCGTATCATACAGCGTATCATATTCACACTTCCTCCGATCCTGCTTAAAGAATTCCTGGTGTTTCTACCGTCACCGATCGATGCGAACGTCTCCGCCACCACTTCCAATTAATTCGTCGGTTCCTGTACATCGATCCGAATGATCTGTTACCAGTACACGTGCTGATCATACGGTTTCACGGCCCCATTGTTTGTTGCAAACGAGAAATAATTTGTGAATAAAATTTTTATATACGTGTTCTTAGCGATCTAAAATCAAAAGCTGAAAAATAAACTTCGATGAAAAACCTTAAAATTAGCTTCAAGAAAATTTAAATTTTAACTAATAAGCATAAGTATAAGCGAAAAAATGAGGCTTCAATTTTTCACATGCATGAATGCAAGCGGGTCGACGCACTAATCTACTTATATATTAATTATCTTTCCCAAATTGACCATCATATAAATTTATACACCAAGAACAAGGATAATTTAAATCACATTAATCAAGACACCATACACACATTCTCTCACCATGCCCACCTGCACACATTCTCGCATGCTGCATTAATTGTATTATGATGAAATCAGTGTCTATGTGGTTATATGATGATCAATTTGAGAAATTTTAAATTCCATTACATGGTGATCAATTTGGGAAGGAGAGAGTAAATAAAGTGTAATCCGCGGGTTTTCACGTTATAGCTCGGCTTGCCGCGTCATAGAGATGCGAGTGGATCAACCCATAAACCCATTCATAGGTCAAATTAGTAGGTAACCCGTAAGCTTGCATCCCACTTGATAGTGCAGTAGTAAGAAATATATATGTGGTTTCAACTCTAAGATCCCGTGTTCAATAATCCCTCCGTACTCGTAAAGGAAGTTGTTTTGGACAGCGACACAGTCTCCAAACACAACTTTGACTTCTTATTTCTATAAAAATATTCATTGAAAAATGATACATGTATACTTTTATGAAAGTATTTTTAAGACAAATCTATTCATATAATTTTTACATTTTCAAACTTAGCAACTTGATAGTTATTCATGATTTATATTCCTAAGTTTTGACTTAAACATTATCCTAAACGACTTCCTTTACGAGTTTGGAGGGAGTACTCAACACACTCACAATTATTTCTTAATCCAAATCTCGTTTTTTTTTCTCAACTTCCAAGGGTCCGCATATGCACGCACATGTACAAGGAAGATCAGAATATATATTTGATAGTATCTTTCGGGGGGGAGGGGGGAAGAGTGTACGCAGATGCACGCACGTACAAGGAAGACAAGAATATATATTTGATAGTATCTTTCAGGGGGGAAAATGATATACTATCTGTTTGAGAGGTGGAGAGACCAAGAGAAAAACTAGTAGATCAAAAGAAATCAAGCTTAACGTGTCAAGGCTTCAGGGAGAAGAAAGTCATGTAACCGGTTCACAATCCCCACCGAATATGAAGCCAGTCTTGCATACACCACTTCTTCCGTGGCCATCTTTAAAAAAAAAAATCGCGGCCCTTAATTATGTCGATTCTTCTACTCTGAATAGAATAAATGCAGTAACAATTACATGACACTTGGGTAACAATTAAAAAACTCATTTACAATTATGCTGATTCCAGGTCAATCTTCAACCCCGGATGTCGCAATATTAATTTCAAGTCTTCTTTCAAAATTTGGGGGCATAGGATAGCAACAGCAACAATTGAATTCTTTTTTTAAACAACCCGTACAAGATAGTGCGATATTTCTATTGATATAGTATAAAAAATAGTAATAAGTCTATAATTCTAGGAGACTATAGTCAGGAAAAAAATAACAACCGCACCATGCGTCTACGACTGATCCTACTGCCAAAATAGAACAAGCACACCACACCTCTAAGGAATGGGTCTTCTGAACTACGACTCTAAGAAGGAAACAACGCTAAGGGTGGTGCCGTCACTCGTCCTAGAGAACCAGGACGTGATTTTCACCTGAAAAAACCATTGTGGCATAAGAGAAAACGCAACAACGCCCTAATGGGAAAGCGGCGCCCATAGGCGTCTCCGTTGTCGGCCTGAAGGCTAGGCCTTCATCCGTAGCTCCTACACTCAAGCGCCAATGGGTGCATATCCAATTCAGCAGAAACCACCAGCTAATCCCCTGCAACGTGCAGCCACCGCGTCGACGCCTCGCCACTGTCCGACCATCAAAGTAGGATCTCAACCTCCGGCGCGCTCCGATTCCATCCACTTGGTTGAGTTGGAGAGGGATAAGGTGAGAGAGAAGAATGGATCCCCTCACCTCCATCCAGCGTGGCCATCTTGCAGAGGCAAGTCGCCGCCACAAAAGGATTGACGCCTGGAAAGGAGCTTGCCGCAGCCTTCAATGCCCACCTCATCACGCTACCTTCGTCACCACCTCGAGTAGGCTGGTCGTGTTCGAACATGCCACCTGGTCGTATCGTCGTCGCCTCCATCCTCCCACCGCGACAGTCTCCCCGCCGTTGCACCCCAGTCGTGTCATGCTCCCACCATGGCAAGTTCGCCGGCACACTGTTTTAGCCTCCATGTCGTGCTCGCTGGTCTCCCACCGTCGATGTCTCTCGCGCCTGCTGCCGCTCGCCACGACTCGTCCCTCCCGTCAGCTGTTGTCGTCGCCCGCGTCGGCCCTCTATCGTCAATCGTGCTAGCCAGCTGCTGCTGTGGCCTGCGCCTCCCATCGGCCAGCCGGTATGCTACCGCTCGAACCTCCCACCGGCCGCAGCGTCCTCTCAACCTCCCGCCATCCCACCGCTGTCACTCGCGCGGACGCCTGCACCTCCAATCAAATCCCGCGGCCAACACCAGATCTAGTGGGGGAGACAAATACGACGATGGCGGATCCGCAGCTTCACGCTACACCGTCACACAGCCTTCCCAGCACGTCGTGCCGCCTCCTCATGCCGAGGGCGGGCTGCAGCTGGGGTTTTGGCTCCGCCGTCACTATCCCGGCAGCCGTGTAGATTTCGGCGACAGCGAGGCGGGGAGAGGAGGGGAGGGTGGTGGCTGCAGGGAGTAGGGCCGTCAAAAAAGCTCGAGGCTCGCGAGCAGCTCGAGCTTGGCTCGTCCTAGGCTCGATTCGAGCTCGGCTCGAGCTCCAAACGAGCCGAACTCGAGCCTGAGCAAAAGCTCGCGAGCTTTACCGAGCCGAGCTCGAGCTTCTACCGAGCCTGGCCGAGCTTGACTGCGTATAGTTTATATTGCATGTTCACCTTATTAATATAATAAACTAATAGATAAATATATATATTACTATCTATTTACAAAATAAATTAGCATGTGTTAGCACAATATATTTATTTTAATCATTTTATACTCTTTTATTAGTGTGATCAACAAGAAAATAATTATACTTATCAAGAGATTATCATTAAAATATATATTATACTACTTATGGCCAAGCTCAGCACCAAGCTCGAGCTCAAACGAGCTCAAACCGAGCTTGCCTAAAAGCTCGAAAGTGCAATAGGCTCGGCTCGAGCTTGTGTCGAGCTCGAGCTTGGGCAAACGAGCTCGCTCGAGCTCGGCTCGTTGACAGCCCTAGCAGAGAGCTAGGATTCACCCCCGGTCGCCCAGGCGTGGACGACACGGGAGCGCGAGTGGTCGCGGGTAAACTTTTATCGTGAAGCATCCAACAACTGAAATTTGATCATTGCTCCAATTTGGTTGTTTCATTTTATGGTCTTGCTCCGTTCAGCTTCTTGTAAAACTGAATCTTTTTTTTTCCCACAGAGTGCGTAGGTGAAAAAAGGTGAGGGCGACTTTAGCTCTGATTCAACCAGGCTTAGCCTTTCCGATCCCAAATTCCCACAACCTATATGGTACGACGTTAATTTTGATCAAATTCTGATCATTTTTTTGTAAAATTTACTGTTTTAAATTTGGATCCTCGAAAACCATTGGACATTTCAGTCGAAATCTGCTTTTGTCATGTACAAAATCTCAAAATTTCGTAAAAGAACGTGAATCTTTTTTTTTCTGAATGAATCGATGAGACCGCCAATTTCATTGAATAGAGAAGAAAGGAACTGTACAAAAGAAAACTTTACAAAAGCAAAAAAAACAGGAGTGCAGCCCTGCCGAAAAGGCTAATTACAGCGGCAGCCAGGCAACGAGGCTTCTCGTACCCGCAAGGCTCCACGTTGTTCTTCCTCTTTTATCTTGGATAGAAGATTTGACGCCGGCAACTCCTTGTACTGGAAAGTCCTCCAGTTTCTTTCGTTCCAAATCTCTCAGGCCACTAGCAAAGTTAACGTGCGTAGTGCCTTCTTTGGTGCTTCTCTTGTACTTGCAATGGCCTCCCACCACTCGTATACCGTAGGCGTTGCTCGCCAGCGATGAGGGCTTAGGTGTCCATTGCCAGTCCAATGCGCTATCTCATTCCAAATTCTCTGAGTGTATAACGTGCGTAGTGCCTTCTTTGGTGCTTCTCTTGTACTTGCAATGGCCTCCCACCACTCGTGTACCGTAGGCGTTGCTCGCCAGCGATGAGGGCTTAGGTGTCCATTGCCAGTTCAATGCGCTATCTCATTCCAAATTCTCTGAGTGATGAGCCGTCTCTTGGGTCTGACGACATAGCGGACACGTGGATCCGTTTGGCCAGCCTCTGGTTGCTAATATATCCAAAGTCCACACTCTGTTTTGGAGAATCAACCAGGCAAAGGTTTTGCATTTGCGTGGCGCCCAAGAACGTGAATCCTAGATTCAATATATTGTGACTTTGTGTTGATTTTCCTACTGGAATGTAGAATATGCATCTGACCTGCAGGTTAAAGCCTGCCATTTTCAATTGCCAAAATCCTAATGGTACTAAGTGCGACATCGAGGGTGAATGGGTGTGATGCTCTAGGATTGGATTCCATGCACCTTTCAGCATCAATATAGGCCTGGTTTAGTTAAAAAAAAACATCACATCGAATCTTTAAATATATGTATGAATTATTAAATATAGATTAAAAAAAACTAATTACATAGTTAGAGGGGAAATCACAAGACGAATCTTTTGAGCCTAATTAGTCCATGATTAGTTATAAGTGCTACAGTAACTCACATATGCTAATGACAGATTAATTAGGCTCAAAAGATTGTCTCGTGGTTTCCAGGCGAGTTATGAAATTAGTTTTTTCATTTGTGTCCGAAAACCCCTTCTGACATCCGGTCAAATATCCAATATGACACCTAAAAATTTTCTTTTCGCAAACTAAACAGGCCCTATAGCGCACAGATAATCATTGATGGACGATGGGACCATACATCACCATTCCAAAAAAAGGACATTGTTCAAACACATTCAAAAACATATGAAAGGAAAGCGGAACAACGTGACATGGTGAGCGTCACATTACGTCCTTGTGATTTGCATTGCACTGTGCATGCAGCATGCTTCACAAATTCAGCAATATCCTTTTCTTGTTAAGAGTTGCCTCCGACATAACTTGTGCATTCAAGATTGCACATTGCACACCTCGCACAAGGCAAACGGATATATTTTTCTTCCCTTTCACAGTACATCAATTCGAACAAATGTATCTTTCGCTAAAGAATAAGAAAACATTGAGTTCATATGTATCTGTGAAGCTTTACAATTGATCCATATGAAAGTAACTTTAGGGAAAGGGTAGAGATAAGGTAGCTACTTCATAATCCATAACGGAATGTTTTACTCATCACATTACACAGCAATTTGGTGCTGATTCAAGCATCTCCGGAGACCTGTGTTTTATAGAAACGCAGATTAGTCAGACCTTCAATATCAAAATCAAATGCATCTATAGTAGTAGCTTACTCCCTCCGTCCCAAAAAAACTCAACCTAGACAAGGATGTGGCATCTCCTAGTACAATGAATCTGAACAGCTCTAGAAAATGTCACATCCCCTTCTAGGATTAGTTTTTTTTTTTCAGATGGAGTTCTTAAGGTAATAAGAAACATAAATAATATACTGATAAATAACTAATTTAACATAATGGACAATCCAGGAACATGTCATGATAACGTAATCACTTTGCAGATGATTATTTAATCTGAGGGGAGAATCTTCTCATCCAAAGATCCTTAGGTATTTTTGCAAAGTAAATGCCATGTACTACAGAATTAGTTCATATTACAATCAAAGAAGGTCCTAATAGCACCTCAACTAAATTAAGAATAGCAAAATATTATATGGAGAAGGTAAAAGTTAAAGCTGCTAAAAAGTGAGCGTATTTAAATTCACAAAATGACACGATATGGACAGTACAATATATTTTGAGTTAGAATCTGCATGATTGGCCCTTTTGAATCAAAGGAATTATGAAGGAATTTCATAGGATTGAAATCCTATATGAAATTTTCCTATGTAGCCCTTTGATTCAAAGGATTGAAGTTTTCCAAATCCTACAAAATTCCTATGGAATGGCTTGTTGCATATAGGTTTTGGAGGAAACTTAGCAAGAGGTCCAACCTCTTGGTAAAAATCCTTTGAGTCTATCTCTCTCATCTGATTCCTGTGTTTTTCCTGTGGTCCAATCAAACGATCATTCATGTGTTTTTCCTGTGTTTTATAATCCTCTGTTTTACACTTACATTCCTGTCAAAATCCTATGTTTTTCCTATTCCTCCGTTTTTTCATTCCTACGATTCAAAGGGGCCCTAATGTTAATGCAATTCGAAACTGAAATAAAGAACTTTTGAGAGGGACAAAGAAACTATGATGCGTGACTCTGCCTAAGTACAGCAATACTTAATACTCACAACCATTTTCTACAAAAGTCCGCCATGATCTTCATTAATAAAGTTTGACCATTAGACAGTTGTACATATTACAATATGTTAGTTAGAACTTTATAATCATGATAGAATATTAACAGTATAAATCAAAAACCAACATATCAGTAAAGCAATTGCCAGGCAAAGTTTGATCCAGAAATGCATGCTAGACCAAATATTTTGAAACAATTTAGCATCCTACGGAACCAACAGGGTATAAACTTTCAGTTCAGTTGAATGTGTGAGTGCAAACAGTAATGACTAACAACAGTTACACTTAAAAGAAAAGGTTTGTAAGACTCACAGTTGTCCCAACTTGCTCAGATCAAGATCTGGAGCAATGTCTTGAACAAGATCACTGGGGGGTTGACCACATTCTTGCATGTTTTGCATGATCTCAAAAATCTTTGCCATGTTTTCCGGCTCCTTTTCGTAGACCTCATTAAGCTTCATCATGAGTTCAAGCTGGTTGTTGTAACGCTCATATTCTTCTTTGCTTATTTTGCTTTTATTTTCCTCGAGCCATTTTGGGTATTTTTCCACAATGTCCTTCATCGGCTCATGAAGAATCTCCTTGGATAGAAGTTGTTGCATCATTGTTTCAACAATGGAGTCCATATCCTGTAGAAGGTAAAACAATATAAAGCGCTTGGTTCATAGCTGTATAAATGCAACATGAATTAACTAAGGTCTAGCATCAACTGTTAATATAACAACTTATAATAGGAACACACAAGTGGCATATTTTTTGAGGGAATACAGAAAAGGCTTGCATATCTTTGTATTAAGATAGAAAAGCTCAACCAACAACAGACTTGTTTTGAGAAGCAGGCTACCCCTTGAGCTATTATGGCCTTATGGGTTACTCACATAACCAATTTTGTAACCTAATATGGAACATACAAGAAGTGGCATATCCCATGGTCCAGTCATCTCATATAGAACTTATCTTAGTAAAAACAACCACTATCCTGCATCATTTTCACCTAGATGAAATAACAGCTTGCAAAGTAAATTGCCAGAGGCTGGTTGTGTAATTTTCCAGGGAAGTTATAATCAGGTGAGCAGGAGTGCTTTTGCACCCTGAAAGGCCATGCCTAGAAAAGAACTACATACAGATGGGAAGTTACAAGCATATAATCTTATCAGTTGTGCTGCCTTCAAAACTTCTTAGTGATAGCCAGTCAGTCGTACATGATGACATGATGACTGTCTACAATTGCATTGCACAATTGAAGACATGGCAAAATGGCATATAGGATTGGGGCTATCTTGCAGAAAATCACATGTATCTGTTAGATTCATGAGTATACACACCAAAGTCCTTTCGTCCAGATTATTTCAATTGTTAGTTTTGTTCATCATTGCTGTTTTCATATCACTGCCGTTCAAATAAGATCCCTTCTATTCCGCAGCCAATTTCACATACTTTCTCAATCAAAGTACTACCATAGAGAAATCTTACTTTCTCAATCAAAGTACTACCATAGAGAAATCTAAAGCTCATCTATATATACCAGTGGGCATAAGGGTCATCCATCGATTTCAGAATGCAAAATTTGTATTTACAGCACAGTTTAAACAGCCCACGCTCAATCAGTCCCTAAATTCTCATACCGTTTCTAAGTTCCATCGACCAGATGACATTCCAAAAAAGCATACCTGCGCGCCGGCGAACTCCTCGAACTGCTTAACGAACTCCTCCATCATCGCATCGTCATCCAGCCCCGCTATGGCCCCGGTGGCCGTCTCGAGCCCGCGCACCGCCTCCCGCGTCTCGCGCGTCAGCTTCTCGAGCGCCTCCGACGCGTACGCGCCCCTCGGCGGCAGCGGCGGCGGCGCGGCAGTGGGCTGCTTCGCCGCCCGCCGCCTCGGCGCCCTGGGGTCCGGCAGCCCCAGCCCCAGCCCCAGCCCCTTCACCGGCTTCGCGTCCCCCGACCCCGATGACGACGACGACGCCGCCGAGGCCTCCCCGCCGCTGCACGCACGCACACACACAGAGATGTCATCAGCGTCACGGATTCGATCGGAATTCCAGCGGTAGGCTCTGACCGGGGGGGGGGGGGGGGGGGGCTACCTTTTGGGGGCGGCGGAGAGGTCGAGGCTGGTGAAGTCGTCGAGGGCGCTGTCGAGGAGCTCGTCGAGGAGCTCGTCGCCGGCGCCGGGGTTGGAGGAGGCCATCGGGAGGAGGGGGGGCGGAAGCCGCGGCGTGGTGGGGGAGGAGTGGTCGCCGGGTCGTGCGAGTAATCGGGGGCGCGTCTTGGGGGGGGGGGGGGGGGGGATCGTCGAGGACACCACGACAGAAAGGAAGCGAAGCGCCGATCCCTTCTCTGCTTCGCAAGGCTTTTGCTGTTTAGTTTGGCTTTTTGCTTGCAGCCTTGCAGTTGCAGGGCTTTGAGCCTGTGCCAAGGGCAAATTAACTCTGAAGTTTGTTTCGTAGACGTAGTTTTGAGCCTTTGCCAAGGGCAAAACCGATCGTTATATTAGTTCGATCCACTCTCTAAAGTTTGTTTCGTAGACGTAGTTTTGAGTTTTTTCCCTCATGTTAGCAACCATAAGGAACTCTACTGTGGCAGGTCTCTAAGTGTAGAGAGGAAAGACGTTGTCCCAAATAGTTTATTATACGAGATTTGCTCCGATCCAATAAAAAATATCTCGAAATTTTCCAATCGTTAGATCTAACTAGGTAGGATGAGCATTGTTTCAATAACATCGGAAACGATTTGGTACCGTGAAGTACCAGTACCTCGAGATATTTTTTGTTAGACCGGAGCAAATGTCTTATTATTATTTTTTTGCCGGGCCAGCCAAGATAGGCCAACCAAATTTACTTATGATTGAAGAATATATACAAATATACAAAGTTATAACTTCAACAAGAAGCTGTCGAAGTAATGGAAGTTGTCACCGGAGCAACCTCCCAAAAGCTTGATTACACTAAGGACTACTCCTACTCTCCTATATTCCTGAAAACCCCAGCTTCCTTCCAAATCGCCACTTCCTTTTTGATTGAACCAAACAGAAAACTGGCTGAGCGCCGCTGGTTCTGAAACACACGCGCATTTCTTTCCTTCCAAACCATCCAACAAACAAGTAGCACAAGGCTGTCAACAAATCTCTTATTACACATATGAAGTTTCTGTGTAGGAACTTTTGAATCTGAATCGGAATTTGATCCAAATCGAGATGGGGCACGTAAACTTTCAGCATACAAACTTTTCAAATAAGGAGTGAGGTGTTCGTGCGAGTTCGTCGAACATTCGCGAATAAACTTAGTACGTACGTTCACGAATTAACCTTTTAACTTACTAGACCGTAATTGTATTAAATTTAGGATGAGTCACATCTCATTTTTAGGTTACGTTATTTTCGGATGAAGGAAGAATATATATTGAATAGACGAGTGATATATACTATGTAAAAGGTTCACAGTAGGGAGAATATTACACGAAAAATGAAGGTTTTAATTTCGTTCATCAGCATGGATACTAAGAAGAGGGCCTTCTTGCTTACAACTTACAATGGCAAGAGACCGGATCAACCATCACTGATTAATTTTTCTCAGCGGTGGAGAACATGAACAATACAATAACATCGATCAATAAGAATGAATTGGAACCACATATCTAGAGAGTTATTACATCTATCTACAGCGTCCAATGCTTCAAAATTGTCGCCTCGGAAACTACAGTTATTTCTGCCGGAGTAGTATTAGTAAAACCTGCTCAGACTGTCTTCTTTTTTTCACACTGAGTGCTTCTTCCATCTCACCAAGAAATTGAGGAACTCCATCACCTGTACGATAAGCAAACAGTTAATGATGAACACGTCGAATGAAAATCACCCAAGGAAGAAGAAAGATATTCTTTTGAGCTTACTTCAGATGGATCTCTCAGCGAGTAGAAGGCTTCAGTTTCCTTGGGAACCTGTGAAACTAGTATTCCATAACCGCAATTTCGCTGTCGAAGTACCTGGTTAAACCAAATGACCGCTATATCAGTTTACACTGAATCAAAGATGCGACTAGGATATACAGCACTACGTGTTCTCCAGAAAATATATGAACCTTGAAAGCGTCTTCGTCAGTTCTGTCGTCTCCAATGTAGATGGGGATCACATTTTCAGAGTCATTTAGCCCGAGTGACTGGAGCAGAAACTCCACAGCCTTTCCCTTGTCCCAGTCGATCACCGGACGAACCTCTAAAACCTGAAGATATATTTCCAGAATATTCAGCACAGGGTTTGATAGATGTGCAAATTACCAGGAAATGGGTAAGTTTCAGTGTACAGCTAAATAGACTTGGCATAGCGTTCTTACCATTCGTCCATTGGTTACTTTGAGACGAGGAAAAGCCTCCAGCACTTCGTTTACGAGCCGTGCGACCAGTTTCCAATCCTGCAAACAAGAAGCAATATTGTCAGATGAATTTTCATTTTCCAAGCGCTTGGGAGCAGAGAAAAAAGTATGACGGAAAAAAAAACAGTTTTTACCTTCTCTGCAACGTTGCGATAATGTACAGAAACGCAGAATTTGTTGTTCTCAACAGTTGCACCTTCAATTCCACTGACAACTTGCAAGAGGGACTTGGTAACCTGTTGAAATAAAAAGTTTGTTAACAAATAGCACAAAACTTTTGCACACCCATCAGGACTAATCACAGTAATTTATATGAATAATAATGAGATGATGGAATCGTTTTATATTTGCGTTAAACTGGATAGAGCAATACAACTTTTTTACTTCAAAGTTGAAAGAGAAATGCACCTCATCGATCATTGGCAGAAAGTCGTGTGCAGGTTGGAAGAGATTGGCCTGTTTGCTCTGTAGTTGGAATTAAGCCATAGTCAGTATTTTACACTAGAACATATTTGTTAGAATGCCCCCAAAAAAGGTAGACTTTTTCACTCTATTTGTAGAAACATAGGCAAGAAATCCTCACCTTTTCAGCACTGTGCTCATGATTTGCTGAAGGTGCCATTATGTCCATACCATGGCTTCCAGCATAATAAAGCTCCTTCAGTTTTACAAATTCAAACACCTGCATAGAGATAAGTAAGCCATATGTAAGATAAGACATACACTTGCATATGCAATCACTTGGCTTCTAATACTAGTACACTAAAATGCATGCAACCATATTTTCGGTACCTTATTGCGGGACCTTCCGCTGACAATTGCAGTGGGGAAGTACTTCGCAACATTTCTCACAGCAGCTCTCATCTGAGGAAAAGTTTTTAATTTAATTCAAAGCAGCTCTTCATTAACCAAGAAATGCTAGTTATTGGTCAGAGTTTATATTCAGACTTACCACGGGAGACATCACTGCTTTGTCAGGATCATCCACAATAGGCGACAGTGTGCCGTCATAGTCTAGAAACACAGCAATCTTCTTCCCTTGTGCACTGGCTACAATTTGCTTGAAGGAAGCCAAAGCAGAAGGACATTTTGCCTGCAACACAAGTCATCACATATGTCAGTACTGTCCACGAAAAGAAAAGGATTGCGAGTTACTAGTACAACTTATTAGGCCAACAGAAACACAACCAATGTAACCATTGTAGCTTACCATCCAAGCGCTGTAAGCAGGGTCTTCTTCTTCAGATGAATTGTCCTCGCCAAATGCTACATTCAGCCTCCTGCGAGGTGACGAGGATTTCATGGCATCAAGCAGTCCATTGACAAGGACTTCCTCGATTTTGAGCCTACTGACACCAACGTTCATGCCAGAGCTGGAGTAGCCACCGGGCATGACTGAAAACTGCATCAGATTTGAAGGCAGGCCGCCCAACAACTGCTGGCTGATCGCCACCGGATCGGTGATGACAGGTGAGCTATTGCTCAAATCCATTTGGGAAAATTTAGGATGATGAGATCAAGAAAGAAGTATGATCGATCGCTTTAAGGACGAGTGCACTGCTGAATTTAGCCAACTGTCTTGTCGATGAAAAACCACTTCTTCAGTGTCTTCTTGTCACTGCAGGTGTGGAGGCAGTTCATCAACAGAGAAATACCTGAGAACTGATCAGACAATGTAAGACAAAGTATTAGAGAAACTGCTCTTGTTTTCCATGAGATGAAAATAGTAGTAACAGTTTTAGGATGTGCCGTACCTTGTCATGTTCAGAACGAGTACACATCTATATCAGAGATGTGGATTGCTTCATAGGAAAAGCCATAAAACGCCAGCTCCGTTGCACTTCAAATGTTCAGAAAGTTTTACTGCATAAATCAAGAAGGAAAAATCTTTTCATTTACACAGAAGTAAAACGACAGCCATGTCCTCCTCAAGTGTCAGGCCGTAATAAATGTGTGTCCTTGTCATTCATGAGCAAAGGAACAAATCAACATCAACAAAAGGGAAAATACTACAAGATGCCAAGGAAAGAAAAAAAATGGGCCCAGGATTAAGTGTGGCATCAACTGTGGTTTAGCAGTACAATGTCACTCTGAGTCGAATAAAAAAGAATAAAATATCTGCCGGAGGAAAAGGATGATCATTAACACAGTTAGGCTCAATGTCTTGATATCTACTACAACGATATGCTGGACTAATCACTGAGGCCATGTGTGCTTGGGCCCATGGGTTAATGTCTTAATGAGTGTTTCTGAACTCAAAGAAATGGTAGGTAAACCTAACGCGTCAAAGTTCAGAACGCAATTAACCATGGGCACCAACCTTAAAAGAGCAACCACTAGTACATCGCTATTAGCCATGATGGAAGCACAATAACGTCAGCTTATATATTCTACTAAACTGTGTGATGGAAGCATATAACGTAAGGTTAGAGATTTTTATTGTGAAAAAAAAATCAAGTTGGAAATCTTTAGGAGAATTGACTTGAAGAAGAATAGACTTGAAAAAATTGTTTTGGTCATCGAACATGTTTTCAAATACGAACTTTGAGTGGAAATTGACCCGGTCAGAAAATAAGAAAACTGGGTGTCTAAAAGAAAATGTCAATGGATATGCTGAACATTAACAACCCTAGGGAGATGAAACAAGAAAAAATCAAGAAAAAGGTAAGGAAATAAGTGGATCCGATAGCAGTTTTAGCTAGCTCTAGCAAATTGTGGCCATGTTTACAGTTCTCAAGCAATTCTCAGAACGAGTGCATTTTTTGGCTGTTTTCACACTTTTCGAGGACCTACATGAACTCCAACAATCACAGCATCCTTTACAACAGAAAAGTATCCGTTTTCTCAGTGAGAAAGGCACCGAAGTTCAGTTTTGGCACTTCGGTGCCTATATTTTTGCAGAAACAAAGACATCAAAAGAGCATGCAGTAAGTTCAAAGAACAAATGTTGGACCAACTGAGCATTGCATGCAGAAATGCAGAAGTATAAGCAGGTGATCTAGAAGAATGACAAAGAGAAGAAGACGCACACCTTAATGAAAGACTTGAAACGAACTGCAAGAGAGATGTGTTGGAAAATACGCAGATGGAGGAAGATGGAGTGCTGAGGAGAGGAGGAGGAGAATGGCTTTGATGCCAAGGCTATATATAGAGACGGGAGGAGGAAAAGGGTTGAAAGAAATCTTGGAGAATTCAATGGCGCCTACTTGTGTTGTTACGGGGATATTTGTTAGGTACCCTCGTTGTAGTCCACACGATTTTGCACAGGGTTGATGCCGAACCCTTTTCACGCAGCTGAACTCCTTTAGAGAACAAATTAGCGGCATGAATAATTATATCTCCATCTGTTTATAATCATATTGGTTAGTACTTAGTAAGAGAGATATACAAAATAAATTATATTAAGAAAAAACTTGCACATGCACTATTTTATTTTCTTTATTTTATCGGGTAAGTGATTCATGATTTGTTGGTGTACCTTCTTAATAATACTTAAACTGTAATAGCGTCAATCTACGAGTCACGCTTTTGTTCTCTTCAAAATTTGTCACATTATTTTCATGTTAATGTGAATCAAACTGCAAACAGGTGTATGCCCACGTCTTTTGTGTGCAGCTCACCGTTCATACCTGTCATAGTTAGTCATATTTTTAACCATCGTAGAATGTCAATAAGTTAAAAATAGAGTAAATTTTATAAAACCTTACGTCTTATAGTCAAAATTGCATATATGATTTGTGGCACATAACCACATATTTTATGATCTAAATATTTCATAAAACCCCGTCTTAATTCAAATTTCAATTGATTCCAGCATATCTGAAATAATATTTTTTTTTAAGTGGTGAAGAGTTAAACTAACAAATTTAATCAAGAAATCAACAACTAAAAGTTTCATATACATTGTGTGTTTTAAATTTTTTTGGTAAATATTTGCCAAATATGTTATTTAGGGGTGGTGTTTTGTAAAACTTAAAAACCACAATAGATGGGGTTCTGTGCCACCAATTTTATACAACTTTGACCATAAAACATAGGTTTACTAAATTTGCTCATAAAAAATATGCAGATAGCCAACAAGCACATATGTATTTGTACCCCAATTATTTAACCAGTCATCTGTAGCAATCCCTACCGAGAAAAGATATGTAGGCAAATAAAACCATTATACTCTTTCGAAAACATCATCCAGTATATAATAATAGAGAAACCAGGAAACCAAATGTAAGAGCTACTCCCTTTGTCCCACTCAATAAGACGTGGCCAAATTTGACACTATCGTCAAAAATAATCTTTGATTTTAAATTTCTCATAAAGCAACCAAATCATAATCATATAAAAGTAAATTAAAATATTAATATAATGATATTGTTTTCATAAAATAAAATTTATTTTATAATAAAATAATTATTTATCAAACATTTAAAGTGTTGAATCTAAATATACATGCGTGCCTTATTTAGTGGGACGGAGGGAGTACGTGGTGTGTGCACGGAGCATTTTACCTGGCCAAAGCCAGTAGCGAACCCCCGCACTGGTTCCTTCCACCCACCGGGACCGACGACGCGTAGGGGTAGCCCACCCTCCCACTGACAAGCACGGTCACGGAATCCACGTCACGCTCGGCGCGGCCGCGTCTTTGTCAGCGTGGAGCTGGAGTCTTGTCAGCGTCGACGCGTCGGGCCCCCCCCCCCCCCCACCCGTCGCCCGCACCGCGCCCTGACGCCCCCCTCCCCTGCTGGTCCGTCCAGGTCCGTCCACCCCGCACGCCGCCGCTACGAAACAGCCCTCCTCCCTCCTCGCCGCCGACCCCGTCCACGGTTACTGACCTCCCCAACCCCCCACCCGCTTTTCTCCCGGACAGCGACGTACTCGGCCCAACCCCCGCTCGCGCCGTCCGCGTCCGCGTCCCGTCCCGCGCCGAGCCGACTGTGAGTTGAGTCAGCTAAGCTACATCCAGTGCGTTCGCTTTAGCGCTTTATTACTACTTGTACCACTACTAGTAGTGCTAGTGTGCTATACTGCCCTGCTGGTAGCCTGGTACCCAGCGCCCACCTTCGCTGAGCGTTCGACGCCGAGTGAGTACTGAGTGCGTCCAGCCCGTCGCCGTCCGTCGTCATCGCCGCGAAAAGCGCCCGCCCGCGGTGCAGCCATCGCCCATCATAAAAATACAGTGTGGTTGTCTCCCGCACGTGCCGGAACGCAACTTGGAGCTCTTTCTTTCTTTTTTCCCGCCTCCTGAGAGAACACAACTTTGCAGATATGCAGTACTAGTAATCAGTTGATGGTTGCCGCGTAGATACAGAGAGGGTGAACTTGACGGCGAAGGAAAACGAACAAAAATATTTTTTTTCTTGTAACTTGTGTGTGCTCGAGCATCTGCCCTGTAGCCCCTTGACGACCGGAAGAGCCAACGCGAGAGCTTTCGTAGAGTACCGTCTTTTTTATCGATGAAAGAAACCGCCGCAGATACGTTCACGGACATTACAGCGATTCGCGATGTTTGGTGTCCGCAACCGAAACGAAGAGGATGAGATAAACAAATGTTTGAAGGCAATCTTGCGCAACTGAACCTATAAACAAGCCATTGAACAGAATAACCAGTGGGCATGCATGCTGCTGCACCCTGATACAATAATGCATCTCCTAGAAACCAAAAAAGAATCATATACAGCTAGAAATCAGCTCGCCGTATCTTGGAGGTGAACTGAATCCAAGGCCAAGTCAAGGAGAAACAAAAAATGTGATAATTCCCCCCAAGGGCCAATTTCGACCACAAAGATTTGATAATATTCTGACTGAAACAGACCTCCATTTTTAGAGCATAAAAAGATTTAGATGATATATTCTGACTGAAACAGGCCTCCATCTCTTTGTCATGAAAATTCTGCTTCATAACTGCATACAAATAGAATACAACACACAGGTCGGTGGCTAGCCTACTTCACGACGATGTTAACACAAGTCCTTGTTAACAAACGTGCAACTTCAATCATCCATCAAATTTTCTTTTTCACCATCCAACACTAAAGATATGGTATAGCGTCATTTTTTTTAAGAGGGGTTAATACTGAAACGTCAGTGCTGGCGACCTGATGCCTTGGGGGAAAATTGTTGGCCAAGTCGGATCCACGAGGGTACCAGATGACTCCTGGATGTCTCAACGTTTTCGAGTCGCCTGCGACCACCTAACGCCCAGCTAGCAACTGCCAAAAGACAATCGAAGACGAACATGACTACATGAGCATAAAAAAAAACTGGGGCAACTGAACGAGCATGAGCATAAAATAATATAGAGAAGAACATGAACATGTGGAATCGGCCAATGGGCGTGCACTGTATCTGCATCTGTAATTGACTATACCTAATTGGGAAAAGAATACCATGCACTTCCTCTTGTTGGATTGGTCTCCTCGCTGCCTCGACAGTTGCTAGGTGCGCTAGCTCATCTCGTGCTTCCCAAAGATGCCTACAAGAACAACAGGCACATGAGGTCACTGGTCAGTAAGCAGCCAATAGGGTCTTGAATTCTGATTTACACAGCATTCTAAATGTACTGATGCTCCAGTTACATGTCACTTGTCAGCAAGTAGCCAGTACGATCTTGAACTCTGATTTACACAGCGTTCTAAATGTAATGATGCTTCTGTTACATGTACTAATAATGAACAAGACAGGTCAACTACGAAGTGGCAAAAAAAAAAGAGAGCCAATAGAACAATTTATACTTTTGTAGTATTGCAGTCAAATTTACTCACAGTTTTGTGCATACTTCTAACAATTTGAAAGTGCAAGGAAGTAAGTTACTTTGGATCTGATTGGCCAGCAATCAATCCTGTAACAGCAAAGTAAACTTATTTAGAACTACATGCCTGTCCTTGGATCCACAGGGAATTCGGATAACTATGGAGACTGGATGATTAAAGAACTGCAAGCCAGCAAACAATGCTCATCTCATCGTTTTGGTTTTCCTTATCACTATAATAAACAAACCCCACTCGTCACTTTCCAAACAAACCAGCAAGAGAAGCAGCAGCAACTTTGCAATATACCGGGGAAGATTATGGATCCACAGGTTAGTCTGTATGACAAAAATAGTTCAACTAGGCAGATGAACAAAACTAAAAAACAAAAACTCAATTTGCAGTTCATCCCTTCTCACTTTGACCAAAATGAGCATGACCATATTATTGATGCACTTTAATGATCTGAGATTGCATAAAGTTCCAAGATATTTGCAAAGTTGCAGAAAGTAATGTTAGAAATTAGCTTTTTTGTGATTAATGGAAATTCTACAGGAATGCAAGGGCAGTAAGATACCGTAAGCACCATCTAGTTATGTTAGGCCATAGTGGTAAAATCTAAAAAGTGGATGTTTTTACCCCCCCCCCCCCACCCCCACAAAAAAAAAAGGAAAGAAGAAGAAGTTTATAAGATTGGCATGCTGATCAAGAAAAAGAGATATTAAAGAAATAAAGTCAAGTGGTTATCTGATGAATGTAAAGGAACAAATAGGACTGTCTTATGCATTCATGTGAACCAACAAGAGAAAAAAAAACCTTGAGGCTAAAGCAATGTAGACTCATCAACACAACTTTGTTTTCTCCCCTGAGGTTAAAGCAGAAGAAAACGATATGGACTCAACAGCACAACTTCTGTGAGATCTGTTATAGTCATCAGTCATCAAGTGCAAGTGTGCAACTGCCAGACTGGAAGCAACAAGAACCCTAGAAGCCATGAATGCATCATTCCTCAAAAGGGCCATTCAACGCAGTGGATCTACTATGTGCACATTTGGATCTTTGGATGCATTTCTGGAGACCATCACCTAACCCAACAGTGCCATTCTCACATGGAAGCATTGTGAAGATACTGTTCTTTAGGACCATGATGAGTTAACAATGAGAACTAATAGAAGATCTGCTATTTACTTAGTATATATACTGTAGGTCGTAAGTTAAGCTTCTCATGGACTGGACCACCAGAATAGATACTTTTTTTATTGTTTAGATGGCTAGGAAATCATGATACTTTGGACCATAAAGTTATAGACTTCTGTTCCAACTAGTGTGTGCTATAAGCTACACCTGATTAAGATTCCTCAGAAATTTCCAGAATAAAAAGGAAAATTTGCAAGCAACAGTGAGTACATGAGGTTAAGAAGTTATTTTTTTCAAAAGTAGACCAGAGCCAAGAGATCCGAGAAGCATTGAAGAATCAGAGAGTATGCATCTAATATACATCTCACAACTATTGCCATCTGTTGATATTACAAACACAAGAATTATCTTTGGTTCACTTAATGCACAATAGCATGCAGGTCGGCTGAGCTTTCATGAAACAACATTTGAACATTCAAGATCTGAAGAAACAAAGTTAAAGTGCTGAATCAATGCAAGGTAGATTGCCTATCTAGTACTTCCTCCGTTTCATAATGTAAGTCATTCTAGCATTGCCCATATTCATATAGATGTTAATGAATCTAGGCACACATATATGTCTAGATTCATTAACATCAATATGAATGTGGAAAATGCTAGAATGACTTACATTGTGAAACGGAGGGAGTAGATGCTAATCGCTGCTGCCTCCAAAATAGGTGCCACCCTTGGCTCCTCTTAACCACCCCCATGGGCCACTAGAGCCAACCGTGGTGCTACCACTACAGGAAATGCAGTGTTATTGTGACCACTGATTCTGACATTGCCATCCCATGGGAACATCGCCAAAGCCAGCCATGGCGTAGCTGTACCCATGAAATGGCAGCTCAAGGACAAGATGCTTACCAAGAGGGGGAGAAGCTGCTGTTTACCAATTCCAGCATGGGTCCATGTGGTTAATTGGTTATTGCAGTGATGCAACTTCAGTGCACATACTACATACAAGAACACGGCTAGTATTTCTTAGCTACCAAGTTATCGTCAGTATTAGGTTCTTGTACAGATGGAGTGCAGTAAACTCTATCTTGGTTAACTAGAATAGATTGAGTTGTGGGGGGGCCAAACCTCTATACAAAATTGCAATAGTCTGCACCCTCCCACATTGACCCACCCTGTGGAGATGCCTCCATGGCACCATAGCCCCATTTGGGTCACAGGACACATCGACTAGGCTGAATGGCACTTATCCCAACCACGCTAATCACAAGTCAAAAGTCAAAACCCCTTGCTTGATTTCTAAGTTTAAAGGCAATGTTGGCCCTTTCAGAACGGAACAGTGTTCTAAACAGAGTAACAGTCAACACAAATGCGTCGCTTCACCAATCTCGACAGAATTCAAGTAAATTACTCTCGTCAGCAAATTATATATACCAATTTTTCAAATCGCAATATGGAATTGTACTTATGAAAAAGGCTTGCCTTGAGATATATAATATACATATATCTATTACTTTTGGTGGTGCCTGCAAAAAGTAAGAGAAGACTTTACTTTTTCCTAGCCCCCACAGGCCAAACTTCACACAAGAAAAATATGATAATCGAATACCCTTATTATGGATTTTTTTTCATCGCTCTAGACAATAGGAATAACGTCTTTTAGAGGCATTAAAAATATATAGAACAAACTATTTTTATAAAAAAAATCATTGCAACGCACGGGCATTATGCTAGTGTAGTCAAATTTTACTAATCATGGAAGCACTAAGTGACTGATTCTGGCTAGTAAAATTAGGACCCACCCCCCCCCCCCCAAAAAAAAAAAAGGAGGGTGGGGTGGGGAGTATGGGTTTGGCAAACAGTGTTGACTAACTGATAATTCGCATTTCTGTGACACAACTACTAGACAGTAAAACATCCAAAATGCATGTTAGGGCATAAGCCATTAGAGACTAGAGGCATAAATATGTATTCTAAATCCCAAGAAAACTCCAGAGACATTGAAAAATATTATTTCAGACAGGCCACATTTGTTCAAGTACAAATGGATTGAACCAGGAGCAAATAAGCACAATTAAACAACATCATCCAACAACTACTCCCTCCGTTTCACAATGTAAGTCATTCTAGCATTTCCCACATTCATATTGATATTAATAAATCTAGACATATATATCTATCTAGATTCATTAACATCAATATGAATATGGGAAATGCTAGAATGACTTACATTGTGAAACGGAGTAAGTAGCAAATAGCAGCAATACCACTAATTCGTTTGCTCTCGTAGAAAAATCATTTGACAATAGTTTGTAGGTTATAACTGTTGTTTCTGAATTAGACTTAGAAGCAGTTGTGGCTTAAACATAATGAGTTTGCTATCTTCCGATAATATTTGCTTTGTTATCTTGTGAAACATCACTTTTCCTGTGATTTAGCCTGATATGATCTGCAGGGAGCTGATACTGTTGTGTAAAATTTAAGTATTGTCTCAGTTTTAGCTAGTAGTATTTATCATAAACCAATTCTGTTACGAACAAACAAGAAGAATCTACACAAGCAACATACAGTAACACTTATACGTATGTAAACAATGTGCAAAAACGCAGCACCAGAATTCCTAAGGACACGAGAACTGATTTTTAGAGGAAATGCAGCGAGATGCAAAATTTGCAACCTTTTTCTAGTCTGCAAAGAATTAAGTGGCAAATAATAATCCAGCTAAGCTCATCCATAAAACATAGCATTTCCTCAATACAACTCCATCCATTCATAACATCCGGGTGAAATCAGAACAGGAAGAATCAAGCCTCGTATCACAATACCTCTAAGCAATAGAGAGACATCTACTCCAGGGTCTAACATATTCCGTCAGAAACAAGATCAAACACAACCCAAAAAAAAAATTAAAAATTAAGAGCCATCTTTTTCTTGACGATATTGTTTCATTCACTTGTAGCATTATCTCTAAAAGATTTTACATGGATATCCATCACTACTATCAATTCCTATCCAAGAAACCCAAGATTTTACACAACAGAAAGGGGAAAAAAAGTAGCAATAAGGAATAATCAGCTAGGCAAGAAGAGACTAACTACCGGGAGAGGCGCGGCACTGGTCGAAGCGGCGGAGCACCTCCGGGTCGTGCATGGAGAGCACGAAGCGCGAGAGCGCCTCGAGGAAGAGCGCCGCCTGGTACCCCCCGGCGGCGGCGACGAGCTCCGAAAGAACGCCTCGACGGAGCCTGTTGGCATCGAGGGCGACGTCCTTGAGCTCCTCCAAGAACGCCTCCACGTCAGCCGCGCCGGACACCTCGGCGGAGATGAAGGCCTCCTGGACACGGCGGAGGCGGTCGGAGATTGAGGGGACGGCCGCGCGGATCCGGCGGTCGACGCGGTCGGTAGCGGCGAGGAGCCGCGGGGAGGGCGAAAGCGACCGGAGGAGGGAGGTTACGAGGGACGGGTGGAGGTCGCCGACCCACAGGAAGGGGAGCTCGAGAGGCGAGCGCCAGTCTCCAGCGGAGACGGCCTGGGCGGGGTCCTGGCGGGCGGCGGCGTCGAGGGCGGACCAGTGCGCCTGGAAGTGGGCCTCGACGGCGGCGGCGGCGGAGGAAAGCGGGTCGTCCCAGCCTCCGGACGAGGAGGAGGAGGAGGAGGAGAGCGCGCGGCGGAGCAGGGGGAGGAGCGGCGAGCGGAGGGTGGATAGCCAGGCGGCGAAGAACTCCCGCATCGGCCGCCTGGCCCCCGGAGCCCCGCGACCAGGAGGAGGAGGAGGAGGAGGCCTCGGCATTCTTGCGGCTGCGGTGGCGCGGCGAGGGGAGGCGGTGGTTGGCCGTGCCCGGCGTTAGGGATTCCGGGGGAGATCGCCGCCGATTGGAGATTCGGAGGGAGGGAAGCGTGGGTGGGGAACGGAGACGGAGGTGGGCCTCGACTGCGAGTGATGTAGGAGAGTTATGGGCTGGCCCATTTTCTTTGTGTTTCTTTGACATTCAAACATGGTCTAAATCCAAAAAAAGTTTTATAATTTTTAATCATATTTTACAATATTTCCCTTTAATATATGATACAACTCCTAGTGCAAAGTGAAACAAGATATACTTTACTTGGTGCAATGTGTATTTAGTCTGTTGTACATCTATGTATATGATGTCCTATGATAAAAGAAAATGTATACGCTGTTCCTTGAGAGCAACTTTAGTTGGATCCATGAATACATCCTTGAACGGTTTTTAAGGTTGAGGGAAAAAAGTTTGTTGTTGTCCCTACTAGACCCCTGAAATAGAAATACACCTAAATCTTCCCACATCCTCATCTGTCTTTTATAAAAGGAGGACATCTCTGCCACGTTCACCCTTCTCATCCTTCATTCCTTCCGCCCTCCTCATCCTTCATTCCTTCCTTTGGCGCGGCCTTCACCGCACCGCCGGTCTTTTCTAACCATTTATGCGCCGACCGCTCCCTCCCTTCTCTACTCATTCTTGTACTCATTCTCGTATCATCTCGCTCGGCTAGCCTCTGCTCATTCTCGTATCATCGCCTCCGAGTGAAAATTCTTGCATCACCTCCCTCCCTCCGGTGAAACACGCCCGCAATTCACTTTAGGCGTTTAACATTTCTACTTAAGAGAAACGTCCAGGGTCTTCCGTCTAGCTACACAAGATGGTAGGCTAGACGACCTAGGTTCGAAGCTTTATCCCTTTTAATTATTTGATATTATATCCTTCCCTAATATTCACGGACATTTCTACTTAAGATAACACCCATGCCTTCATGGACATATTAATTCATTTTTAAAATTTAAGAAAGTTGTTTTAAAAAAATCATATTAATTCATTTTTAAAATTTAAAATAATTAATACTTAATTAATTATGCGTGCGCTAATGGCTCACCTCATTTTGCGGATCTTCTCAATCTTCTCTTTTCCTCTCCTCTCAATAACTCCTAATTGTCGCGGATTATTATCTACTTAGGTATAAGAATAAATTAAAAAACAAAATAATAAATAGATTTCAAAAGATTATTTAGCAATGCAGTAAAAAAATAAGAAAAAAATGCTTTTTAATACCATAGACCAAAAAATCCTATAAATAATCTGAAAAAACGGGGCCTCAGCCGCTACCCGTGTGGCTTACATGAACGATGAACCCGGCCGTAACAAACAGCCCAGCGGCCCAGCCCACGCACGCCTCCGCGCCGCGCCTCAACACGACGGCGACCGAGCCGGCGCGGGCTGCTTCCGGCTCCTCTTCCGCAACGTCCCGCCGCAGCTCCGCCCCGACTCCGACGACGACGCCCTCCTCTTCCCGCTCTGCGAGGCCTCCGCCACGGCGGGGTCCTCTCCTCCTCCTCCTCCCCCCGCCGCCGCCGCGCTCCTCCGGTTCACGCGTAGCGCGCGGCGCAGCCCCTGATCGCTCTCCCCGAGATGCTTCACCTGCATCATCTCGTCATATCGATCGATCATGAGATCCCGGCTATTACATATTATCAGGGGAAACGAATTCGAATGCCGAGCAGGGGAGGATAGGAGTTTCACGCGAGTACGCGACGGCACCTGTACGGCTTATAATACCTTGCAGAAGAGGGAGCAGTAGTCGTGCCCGGACGGCAGCGGCCGCGCGCACGCGGCGCAGGGGTTCTCCACGCTCGCCGACCGCTTCCTCGCCGTGCGCTCGTTCAGGAACACCACCTCGTGGTCACTCAACGTGTGCGACTGCACGCCCGATACCATGTAGGAGTAAGACTCATGATCAGTACAGTACGTCTGTACGTGACGATCGAATTGGTAGCTAATTAAAGGAACGCTTGAAATGTGGCAACCCGAGATCGCTGTACCTGGATGCCGTTGCAATCGAATAGCTTTAGGTCGTCGACGCGGACGACGAAGCAGGACGCATACTTCCAAATCTGTTATATTTTCCTCCATGTCAGACCAAGTAAAGATCGGCCAAAAGCTCGAAACACGTACGGCGTCGACAGGGCATGGCTGGGGGGGGGGGGGGGCAGGGCATCTCACCGCGGAGAAACGAGGGACGGCGTCGTCGTATCAATTTACCTGTAGGACGCCGTGGGAGGCGTCGTGGGGGAGGCAGTGGCGGCAGAGCGCGGCGGCGCAGTCGACGCAGAAGTGGTTCTTGTCGTTCTTGCGCTCCCCCGGGTGCGCGCCGCACGAGTCGAAGAACTCCTCCGACAGCAGGCCGCGCAGCCACTGCGGGGCGCCGCGAACGGCCGGCGACTGCATCCAAGGTCACCGACGACGACGACGACGATCGAGCTGCGGGTTGGCACCACCGGCACGGTCAAGGCTGCGTGCTTAGACCACAGTGCGGCTCGAATGGATGGGATCATGGGATCGATCGAGGAATGCGGGCTTGAGACGATTGTCTCGATTCAAAAAGCGAAAAACTCGGTGGTTCGGCACCGCCATATGTGGGCGCGGCTGCTCTCATCGTCTCTGCTGCACGCATCTCTCGCGCTCTTCTGTTCTTGTCTCAGGCTCTAGCCTCTAGGCCACTCAATCACTCATCCTAGTCATAGGAAAGAAGTCCATCTGAGGTCCCTCAACTAAGTCCATCTTTTGTTGTTAAAGAAGTTTTATCTCGTGTTTGATTGGGACCAGGGGCGGATCCAGGAAAAAAAAATTTAGGGGGGGGGGGCTCAATTACACAATTTTTTCAACCTCCAGCCAACTAGGAACCTTTAGTTTATCATTCATCGTGAAAAAATCGAAGGGGGTGCTCCGGGGGTATCCATGAGTTTTGTGGGTGTAGGGGGGACTCAAGTCCCCCTGCACCCCGCACCTACGTTGGATCCGCCTCTGATTGGGACTTGTATCAACCCAAAGGTATAAATATTCAGGGTCATTGTAATCTATCTACACAAATCGATACAATTACTTTTGGCGCATTGCCACCTTTTATTCCAGCAAGTTCTTAGTTTCGAGTTACGTTGCATCGTTTCAATCTCTGGTGAGGAGGTAAGTTCGGTCAATTGTATTATACTGTTGTTTGGAGTCATAATGGCATAGTTATGGCTTTCTCAGTTAAATCCGATATTCTAACTAAGTTGGTGTTTCTCTAATCATACTGTTGTTTTTTATTGATCAATATATTCGTCGCGTTTGCGTAGATCTATCGGCTAAATAAGTTTATTATCGTCAATATTATACTGTCTCAGTTAGGTCCGATCTATTAGGGCTTGTTCACTTTGCTACCATTTTCAACCTTACCAAGTTTTGGCAAATCTAAATTTTGGTAAGGTTGCCAAATTTTGGCAAGATTTAATATGTACCTATTAAAATTTAGTAACAAACTAAATGTAGTCACTTTTTTTTTAACTTTGCCAAAAAAAAGGTAAGGTTGAAAATGGTAGCAAAGTGAACAAGCCCTTAATTTGCTACTAATAAGTTTAATTTTAGTAAACCGATAGATTTTTATGCAATATTCCATCATAGTTCTAGCCGATAAGTTATCAACATTATGAGTTTTAGCTATTAAATGTATGGGCAAACTAGTTGATGTACATGTGAATCTACTTACATGGGATTTCCATCCGATGTATGCTTTAACCATTGGAGTTGCATCTATCACACTATGTCAATATTAGTTGATTGGTTCATTGGTTCAATTCTTTCTATCAATTCTTGTAAATTGAAGGATCAAATTAATTGACACGCCATGAACCCCAACTTTAGAACTTGCATTGGATTTAAGCAGATCTCTCAAATCTTTCTATGCCACGACATATTTTGTGTCAAAAAAAATATCATAATTGTTAATACAGATCCTCTATGATCGACTTTGTGGTTGAGGGAAGAGACTCAGTCTCAACCTGCAGTAGAGGGAGGTCAAATAAACGTTTTCACTCATACAACAAACAGTACTAGGAGAATTGTCATGCCGTATTGGGCCCCCATATTCGTGGGCCTGAAGCTACGGCCCGCCTGTATATGATGCTCTGGATTCTTGCATGGACAGCCCAAGCACTAACAAGCAAGGCCCACGAGCCCCAAGCTCCCAAGCCAGCCCAGCCAGGTTTCGATTCGTGATCGGTGCAGATGCGGTCTACCGGTCTACCCGTCTCCGGCGCTACGGGATTCGATCTGAGCCGCACAAAATGAACGGACGGCTGGAGATGTCCACAGGTCTGGAATTGGGGAGCGGTTCCGGTAGGGCCGGTGGCCTCCCCGTCGGCGATCGCCGCTCGCGTCGCCGCCGACGACACCAGGAGCTCCGCCTGCCCGCCGCGCGCAGGAGGAGGCGAGGTTGGAAGGCGGTCACTCTGGCGTGGTACGTACTGAGCTCGTCTGGTCTTTCTCGTGCCTCCGGCTCCGCTTCGTTCGTCAACTAGGGTTTCCATGTTCATCGCTTCGACGCTTCCTGTAACTTCAGTGTGGGCTTCTCTTTGTTAGGTGTGGTTGAATCATGTGAAGTTTATGGCGTGCAGTTTTTCTTCATTAGATTACAGACTCCAGGAAAAATGATAATGGTCGCAATTTGCAGACGTTTCACTGCAATGGAGTACAGAGAGGTCAGGAGGAGCATTTGATGAATCAAGTAAAGGTGTACAGAAAAATAAGCCTACTGGTTCGGAACTTTTCATCTCTATTTCCATTAAGAGGTCAGGAGGAGGCTGGGTGGTGAGGTTGTACAATTTTCTTTATCTTTTTTTTTCCCATTTCAATCGCACGCTAATAATTATTTGGGTTTAAATCATATATTCCAGTCACTATCAACTAATTAGAATTAAAAACAATTCTAGTGCTACATTTCTAATCTGGGCATGTTTTGATGGTATAGAACCGAAATGTCCGTCGTCTTTAATCAATGCCGTTTAGATCATTGGGAACAATTGAGCTGGTGAAGCAGGGAATTAACCATTATGGGGGTTAGAATTGCTATAGTACCTAGACTATGTGAAAATCGCTGATAGAGCAATCTTTCATTTGTTTTAGCTAAGAATATGAGATTGACAATGCAAAAGCTAAATAAGTTTACTGGGGTAAACATGGCCAGTATTGTGATTTAAAGAATTATCAGTAGGAAACATGGTGATAGTAACATGTATGCTAGTTACTACTATTCATTTACACTTGAAGTTGGTTTTCCTTCATAACTTTTTGCAAGGTTTGATTGGTTTTAATTTATGTGCTTGCCCACCCAAATTCAAGGTAAACCATCAGTTTCAATGATTATATGGGCACCAGTCCTTGCCACAGTCCAAATCTCCTTGCTTACCTCGGTCCATGCTTAGTCATCTTGTCTGTTCATCTCATCATGTTTTCCTGATGACCATGTGACATGTCACACAAATGTACAGAATTCAATAGAAGTCAGTTTTTGAGTACTCATATCCGTGGTCTGTCAGTGAATTGTGAAAAGGTAAATATGTCCATGTTTCTTAGCTCCGGTTTGCTCCATTCAATTAATTTCTCCAGGCCTTATGTCTTCTCAGAGGCATACATTGCATACAGATATGTATTGAAAACATTCCTTTGCCTGCATTCACAGTCACATTTACATGGGTGCAGACAAAGTGTGGGAATTTGGATGCGAAGCAACCATGTTTATTGTGCGATCAGCGTTCGGCAGGTCAGTCTGATAATGCAGCGTATCTGTACCACCGCTGTGTGCATGTGGATGGCCGCTCTGAGGCGTGACATGTCGTAGTCACCTATGCAGGTATTTGCACAGTTCTGATTTAATTATTGATCTGTGTACTGAAATAACAGTATATCAACCCAAATGAGTAAGCTATAATCCTTTTGGAACCGTCTTACTACTTTTGCTTGTGATAACATCATTTAGCTTCCTGGAATAGTTCATATATGTTTCTTGCTTCTTCAATTTTACATTGCAGGAATGCATGGTATGATTGTATAACTTGTTACTCAACTTCCGAAGTCCTAACGGCATTTCAAATGAGCTTCCAAATTGTTGAATTTGCTCTTCAAGGAAAATCCACTAGAAAAAAAATGTTGCTGACAATACCCAATGACAGGTGGATCCTGCTGCAGTTTACATCGGCATGTAGCAATTTGGTTCGATGATACTGCTCTGATGTCCTTGACGAGGAGGGAAATAAGGGTATTCTTTATGACCGTTTTGTCTGTAATTGCACCAGTAAAGAATGGAGAACTCTATATCTGAACATTTTGGGCTTTAGTTTTACCTCTTCTGAAACTTCTGATGACAATTTCTTCTGCATTTTTTCATGTTCCAGGTATATAAAATAAACCCGTATCGACCTTTGTCTGTCTGCTGTTTGTGGTGTCCTACATTGCAGGAGCTAATCTGATTTGAATTTTTATGTTTTTAGAACAAGTTAAGAAAGCAAGCAGTTGTGCCAAACAAGGGAGTACAAAGCAGTTGGGTCATAAAAATTCAGGACAGGATCTGTTCCTCTGTGCGTGCACTCTGAAACATATGCCATCATAGTGTTCATAACCACTGGCCCATTCAAGGGATGAGCTTATTTAAGAGAGCCACAGAAGAACTTCTGAAATGACCAGGGAAAAGATGCAAAAGCCGTGATATTGTGGTAGTAGTACACAAAGACATTCCTTCGTCATTGATCTCCAACGGGAGCAGTGTCTGATTACACAGTAACCGACCTACTCAAGCAATCATGCGTGTTCGTTGCTTAAAGGATGGCTTTTCTTTGCTTTGCAAGTCTTGATCCCTTCCTGTTCCTCCAATGGCAAGCAAAAGCTATGGCTTACCCAGCACTTTTGAGTTAGGACTATGGCTATTATGTGAAGAGCCATCAGTTTACTTGTACGGAAAATAAAAGCGAAGCTGGCATAGTGATGTAATAATGGTATGTATGTCACTAACAATCTCCAGTGTGGCGTCTTCAGTAACATAGTGTTGTTCAGTTAGTTTGCACTCTTGTTTTCATGTGTTTTACTAGCATAGATGGTCAGGGTTGTTCTACCATTTCCTTGTCACTGGACAACTGAGTAGATCACAATTATAGCTACCAATAAATGAGGTCGCTGCTGGTTTGCTGGGGTAGCACTTCACAAAGAGAGACTATTCAATTTTGGATATCATTTTCTGTCAGTGGCCACCTGCTAATTTGTTCGGCGTTTCATGCTGGATAAAAGAAGTGCACATCAAGAAGAGGAGTAACTATAACCATGTGATGGACCGAATGAACTTATGATACATCATGTGTTTTACTATCTCTCTAGGTCAGAAATACTAGGACAACCCAGATGAGGAACAGTACTTCTTGTTGCTGTAGCTTGGACTTAAAAGGCCAGTCATGTGCTGAACTGCAGATACTTGATGTGCTCTCTTACCTTCAGGATTAAACAAGTGACTGCTTCCTTCATTGCAGTTGGGTTTTATTTCCAGTTTAATGAGCCTATGATTCTGTGAGTCGTCTTCTCTGCATAGTATTATAAACAGAAGAATAGAAGCTAGCATCTGCTGCTTGCTGGAAGTAAAATATTGCTAACACAGGTTCCTGCATCAAGACAACAGTGGTGGAGGTGGGGGACCTTTGGAGCAGGAGTTTAGGACCGACGCATGGCCCCTCCTTGTGCATGCATCATTGTACATATATGTACGTATACCTGTACATTCATATTTACGAGTATATACTACTACATTTAAAGAACACTTGATCATGCTTTCAAATGTATCTTTCAGACTTTCACCGTACCGTCCGCAATTGTGGTCCAAGCACTGTTACAACTGAGTATGTGTACCTTTGAGAAGGTGATTCAAACTTCAGTCATGGCACCTTGAGTTTGCTACTCATTTGGGTTGCCTGGCTTTTAAGGCCTTGAGAAGTTTGAGCTTTTCAAGTAACTTGTGCAGGTGTGCTTTATACATGGATTCCCCTTTATTTGGGTAGATTCAGTTGGACGACAAAGTGAGCACAAACTATACCTGAAAGCTGAAAGAGAAAAAGAGGATCAGGGATTGGAAGGATGGATTCAAGCTTTAGACAGAACATGTTGTAATGTCGCCTGAAAAGCTTGCGCACGGTTTGAGTGGTAGCTGCTTTGCTTAGTTACAAACTCTAGGTTTGATCTTTCTAAAAATCGTAAATTAGGAATGTGTAATCTTGCGGAACTGCTATTGACAGAGTGTACAAATGGTGAAATGGGTCAAAGTTGCCGGTCTTAAAATCGGAATGGTTTCTTTCAGCTCATTCCAATGCAGAAACCAAGTTCAGTCAAGCCAGATGTTCTCAAAAGAGCATTACATGGATAACATTTTCGGGGAAGTAAAAAGCCATTGTTCATGATCGCAAGCTCGCAAGAAAAGCAATGCCGGTGATGATGGCGATGGTACAGCACTAGTGGCTGGGCCGTAATCAGTAAGTATGGAGCAAGAACTCGAAGCTGTATACCCGTATATTGCATTTCTCAGTTCATAAATATAACGAGATGCTAGCATACTTATCTATTGCTGCCTTCGAAGAAAAGGCGCCAAAGGATGAGCAATAAGCACGCGAGTATATTGCTCATGATTATTCAATCGCCCAGCAGGGCAGTGCTTGGGTTGTGGCAATATTCAACCAGCAGAGACGATCTGTTTCTGAAGACCGGAGACGATGATAACATACGAGCCTGACATCCAGGGTATCCATATTCATCTCTGAATAACCTGCCTATTGAAAATCCGCTTCTCGGTTTCTACGATCCCGATACTGCCTAGTATATCTTAATATGCCCCCGTACTCTACTTACTTGAGAAAAATCCATACATAGGCAGATTTTGCATTTGATTATTTGAAACAATATTCTTCGTACAAACCCTTGTGCAACATATTCACACGTGCCACACCACAGTCCACAGCTGATGGTAAAAGAGATCCTTCTGGAAATAAGCTGTAGAATGGCTGTATTTTCGTTATAAAAAGATAAAATAAAATTATGGTAAACGCCGCTGTTCTCCGCGAAACCATCCAAACTCCTAATCCGTAGCAGAGTGAAGTACTCACATGGCGAACAGGCGCCTGAATTAATGACGAGCCCAGCCCAGCTGCTGAGCAAGTGTGCCAAACCCGAACGCCTCCATTAACGCGGCGCCCCTAGCTCTCTCCTGCTCACTTGCCCAGCAGCCAGGCAGCACTGCCTCTGCCTGCGCCCCGCGACACGCCGTCCCAAGCGAGCGCGGCGTCGCGGTCCCTCGCGTCGCTCGCTCTGATGATCTGATGCCCCATGGCCAAGCCGTCGCCTTGCCTCCATCCATTCCTTTTGTCTTTCCTGATTTCCTCCCGCCCGGAGGAAAAGCCTAAAAAGCCTCTCCCTCCCCGTCGAACACGACAACTCCAGGGAATAAACAACATCACCACAAACGCCACACGCTGCAGTGCAGAGGACGCAATCCAACAATGCGGTGCACATCAGGCGGCTGTGCGCCTGTGCGGGGTGCAGCACAGTGGCTGTACATGCCTTGAACTCACTCGCAGAAGATGTACAGCGATGGGGAGAGAGATTAATTGGATTTGGACAGGGGTAATCATAACTGATGAGATCATTTTACACACACCTAGCTATGCAGTTAATGGCGGTTGGTTGATTAATTAACCCATGAGCAGTGACAAAAATTAGCGGGCAGGGGGTTATCGGGACGTTTTTACAGCTTGTAGATGATGAGGAAGCAGGGGAGCACGGCTCGCCGGTCGAACACCACCAGCTCGCCCTTGCCGGCGCGGACGGAGTCGTACTCCTTGCTGGGCACGGGCTCGGCGTCGGCTCCGGCGCCGGAGGTTGCTGGCCCATCCGCCACGCGGCCGGCGATCACCCTGCACAGGAACATGGCCCGCCTGCCGGACGCCGGCCCGCGCCCGTTGGCGTGCGCGCCGCCGCTGCCGTCGAACGTCCGGATACGCAGCGCGTCCTCGCCCGCGGCCGAGGAGCACCCGTCATCAGGCGGCGCCGGGGAGAAGCGCATCATCTCGTTGCCGTCGGCGGCGCTGCGGGAGGCCCCACCGGCCCGAGCGCGCACGGCGGCGCGGTAGTCCTCGAAGCGCGCCACGGCGCGCGCGGGGTTGTGGACGCGGAACAGCATCTCCACCTCTGCCGTTGACGCGCCGGCGGCGGCGGTGGAAGCTACCGCGGCGGGCAAAGCCGCCTGTGTCGCCGGAAGCGGAGACCACGACGAGAGGAAGATAATCTCGACAACCTGCCGCGACGAGTGCCCCGCCGGGAGCTCGGTGAGCGCCGGGACCGGACCAAGCGGGACAGGAGGAGGCGACGACGGCGGAACGGATGCCGCCTTAGCCTTGGGCTTCCTCGGCTTGGCCGGACTTACCTTCGAACTCGCCGCCGGCTTGGCCTTAGACGACGATGACGACGACGACGAGACGTTCTTGTGGTTGTGGGCGTCGCCGGAGCTAGCGCAGCTGGAGCGAGGCAGGTGCAGGTGGGGCTTCTTGGGCAGCGCCGTGATGGCCGCGGCGACGTCTCCAATCGCCGTGGACTTACAATGGAACGACCGGACCCAGCTCCCCGCCGCCATCGGGCGGCGGCGGCGTGGCGGAAGCTTCTCCGGCATTTAGTAGTGACCGGTCACCGGTGGTGTAGTTAGTAGTAGTAAGCTAGCTGGAGAGAAGTGGAGAGGACGTACGCTTATTATGGTACTAGTATCCCTGTTGCTCGGCAATTTGTATATGGCCTAAACTTTGGAGTACTGAGATATAGGAGATGCTTCTGGCAAACTGAGTAACTGACCAGGTTGCGCAGCAGTCAGTGCATGAGTAGTACAGCTTATTTTATGGGAAGGAAATTACTGTGTATATTTACTGTTTACCTCAGATATCAACAGTGACATCATAAGGTAGCTAGGCTCGTACTCCCTCCGTAAAAAAAAAAGATAAAAAAAAGATAAAACCTGGTTTCCGTATCTAACGTTTTACCGTCCATCTTATTTAAAAAAAATATAAAAAAAAATAAAAAGACAAGTCACGCATAAAATATTAATCATATTTTATGATCTAACAACAATGAAAATACGAATTATAAAAAAATTTCATATAAGACGGACAGTCAAAGTTGGACACGAAAACTCAGGGTTTGACTCTTTTTTTTTTTAAGGAGAGTAGAGTCGTAGGAATCGTGTCGAACAGGCAAGGTATGTGGCTTTTTTTTTTCTGCTGTATCCTGATGGCCGGTGTTACTGTTGGAACAGTTTAGACATCTCAGGTGCTGTTAAACTTTAGTATCTGTATTTATTTAGATACTAATTTAAAGTACTAAATATTAGATTATTTATAAAACTAATTACATAAATGAAAGCTAATTTACGAGATAAATTTTTTAAGCCTAATTAATCTATAATTAGAGAATATTTACTGTAGCATCACATAGGCTAATCATAGATTAATTAGGCTCAATAGATTCGTCTCGCGAATTAGTCCAAGATTATATGTGGGTTTTATTAATAGTCTACGTTTAATATTTATAATTATTGTCCAAACATCCGATGTGATAGTGACTTAAAAAAGGCGATCTTTACCCGTAGTACGTACGTGTTGCAGGCATTGCAGCATGGTTTTTTTTTTAGGCACTGCATATTGGTATAGCGTGGCATTTTGGCCGCTTGGTTATTATGGTCCCTATCAATTGGATTTTAGTCCATTGATATATGTTTCCTAGCTACATAATTGCACTCATTTTTTAAAGTAAATTACACATTGGACCATTTCAAAGTTTCTTTTCAGACAACCTTTTAAACAATGTTTTCACTTTAAACCAACCTTTTAAACAAAGTTTTCACTTTAAAGTTTAAACCAGATAAATATATCATTCGTTGCATCATCCTTCCTTTCAATATATCCAGGGCGGATCCAGAAACAAAAAGTTGGGGGGACTCAACATACCGAGTACACCGATGTAAACACATAATCTCAGTATTAAACTATATTAAAATGCTATTATGAGACATTTAGCACCTCCTATCTTATCAACTATGATGAAAAAATTGAGGGAGGGGGGGGCTTAGGGGGTATCCATAGGTTTTGTGGGTGTAGGGGGATTGAATCCCCCTGCACCTACGTTGGATCCGCCCCTGAATATATCTATTTTTCTCCCTTAACGCCAATCAATCTACTTAATCAACGATCCTGCAATCAGGAGAGAGCTTCAGCACTACCAATCCCATCACTGCTCGATCAGTCGCTGCTACGATTGCTTCAAGCCCAAGGCCAAAGCACAAGCCTGGTGATAAGGGTGGAGCCTGAGCTTGAGCCTGAGGCCTAAGGAACGGACGGAGTTGAACACTGAATGGAGCAGGGGCGCGAAGACTCCCTTTTAAATCTAGTTTTACAGATATGTAAAATTTGGAAATTTAAAAAATCTGGCTTCACCCTGCTGAGGAACGTAATTATTGAAACGAGACTGGACCGATAGTCCAATCGAAAAAAAAAGAACAAAAAAAACTAGGCTAGAGCTCGAGCTCGTACCTTCTTTTTCATCCGAGCTTCTAACAATAAGTTAATGTGTCCCGCTGGCGTGAAAAAAAGATGAGCGAAAGGTGTATTTTTAAAGACCCTAATGACAAATATTGCCGCTCAATAAAATTTATTGAGTAAAATGTACTAGCGGTTCTTAAACTTGTCATGAGGTTTCACTTAGGTCCACGAACTTGCAAAGCGCACATCCAGATCCTTAAACTTGGTTTATTGTATCATCCCGGTCCAAAGCGTCGTTTGACCGTGATCTCGCCTACGTGGCATGCCACGTGGACAATGACATGGCGGTTTTTTCCTTTCCCATTTTCTTTTTCCTCCTATTCTTTTATCTTCTTCCTCCACTAAAGCCACCTCGAGCTCCCCCCGCGTCGAAGAGGCCGAAGAAGAGAGAAATGAAAAAGGAAGAAGGGAGAAAAAAAAGAAATAATAATAATAATAATAATAATAATAATAATAATAATAATAATAATAATAATAATAATAATGTGTCATGTTGTCATCTACATATCATGCCACGTAGGGAAGACCACGGTTAAATGAGATTTTGGATAGGAATGATACAATAAACCAAGTTTAGAGACCTCGATACACACCTTGTAAGTTCGTGGACATGAAATCTGCTTACAAGTTTAAGGACCGCCAGTGCAATTTAACAACTTCAATCCATCCGTTCACACAGACACTCCATCCCAACCACTAGTACAGTACGTGGGAGTTAAATGCTGCACTAATTGTCGTTTGGTTTGCAAATTAAATGAAAATCCCATTCAGAACATTTCGGCTTTAAACACGAGATACGATCATACGACAATGCATGGTCGTACATAAAAAAAAACAGAACAGAAGAAAACACCATTCATCAATCGAACCTGTTAGGTTGTTCCCATCACGTACACCCGGCCATGCACGCACGCGCCCAGTACACAGTACAATAAATCGAAATCCGAACACTCATCGTCTTCCACTTGGAGCTTTCCTCCACACCAATGCACAAGATAGGCATGTGCACAGTACTCCTTGGCACACACAGTCACACAACCGTCACCCATATGGCATCGCAACTCTCTCGCTCCCTCCAAAAGCTCACTGCCACACCACGCAACATGGACCGATCGAAGCAGCTAGCCGTCCCGATCGTGAGATTCCACGTACGCGAGTCGTACAGGTCCAGTGGCAATGCATGCGCGCGCAGCCGTTGCGCTGCTGTGCACGTCAGCCGCGCGTCGCGTAAACCGCCTGCCTGCCTACCTCCTCGTCTCGTCGACTCGTCGTCTCTTCCCCCCAAAAAACGTTCCGCAACGGCAAGCGCGCCGCCGTGACATCGGCGCCAGATTCCAGAAACACACACGGGCAAAACGCGCCAGATCGGTCGATCGATCGAGATGGCACCGATTGGCGATTGGTCGCGCTCGTCTGCGTGGTGCCACTGGTGCGTGCGGGATTGAGATCCACTTCGAAGTCCCCGTGTCTTTGACGACACCCACGCTGTTGCTTGCCCGCCCGCTCGGTGGATTGGATGATATTGTTTCGTTGTCTAAGAGCAGTTACAATAGCAAGCTATAAGATAACTATAAATATATTTTAAAAAGATAAAGGAAGAAAAAGAAAAACAGCGGGCTACAGATATGTAGCCAGCTGCAGCACGGACTCTAAGACGTACTGTGTGTATGACAGGTGAGACCAGATATTAATAGTATAGTAAACAACTATTGTATAAATTGGCTATTACATTGGCTATAGATTTTGGAGTTAGTAGTGGACTATACTATTAAGCTGTGTTTGGTACCCTTAGTTCCCAACATCTCTCCCTTGTGTTCTGCGCGCACGCTTTTTAAAATGCTAAATAGTGCGTTTTTTTCAAAAATTTTCTATACGAAAGTTGCTTAAAAAAATCATATTAATCCATTTTTGAAAAAAATAACGTAATACTTATATCGACGTTTGATGTTGCGGTTTCGGTATTTGCATAGTATATGGGGATCGTTGGTACTAGGATATATGCGAGATTGTACTAAAAAAGATGGAGACGTGGATTTTTATACAGGTTCGGGCCCCTGAATTGTCAGGTAATAACCCTACTCCTGTTGGCCGAAGCCGGTCGTTGCTCTTATTCACCATAATCACACCGGCACAATATTTGGGGTAACCTATCTATCTGTTGTCGACATGGTGGTCTGAGTGCTGACTCGTAGTCGACAACAGAGTAGTCTTCCTCCTCGAATCCGTGTCTGGCGAGATCAGAGACAACGTTAGATCCCTCTTGACGGTAGTCGTAGGTACCGTATGGGGACTACTAGGCTTATCTCCGATGTTGATATCTGGCGGCTTATCTTGGCGTATGTTGGCTTGTATGTTGATCTATTGTTTCGTGTCCCCTCTCCTCCTAGGGGACCTTGTATTGATACCTATAGGTGTCAATACAATATGAATACAATCCGAGTAGTCCTTGTCGTTTTCATGTAGAACTCTATTTATCATTCCTTATGCAGAACTCCTCATATATCCGAAGGTTGTTTCCGTATAAGACATGATATGTGGTGGGTTCTACTGAGATTTAGTCAACTACTATTAGATATATGGTATCTATAACCCTGACAATTTAATTAATCACGTGTTAATGGACCACTATGTTTTTCGTGCGCAGCATTTGGGTTTCCAACCCAGAAGTCCGAACACAGCCTTAAACTTGCTACGATCCTGTTTGGCGCGCAGGTTGGCAAGTTAGGCTGGAGGGACGCCATATGATTCCGGGGCGATCGTCGTCCGGTACACGATCGAGCGGGATTATTGGATCTAGTTGCACCTAGGCAGCTACGATCATCTTCTTTTTAATCAGAGTTGCTATTTTGTTTTGTTCTGTTGTCTGGATAGTATGCGTATGTTTAGGACCCATGTGATCAAGGTTGACATGTCTTTATCCAATTGTTGCCCAGCATAGCTAGCTAGTAATAGTATAGTGCTAGACAGTAGACACATAGATACATTACACAGAGTTAACAATGCATGTTACTTCTTTGAAAAGTAGCAAAATGGCTCATGATTGCAGGTGTGGATATATTTATATATGCAACGTACATGATCGGTAGAAGACATACGGATGGACTCAAATTAGCTATCCGAGTTTTATTGTTGCCGAAGGCAAACTATCCTTTTCGATTTTGATTTATTTGAAGTTTGAAATGTCGCTGCAAGTTCGTAGATCAGCGTGTACGCATTTGAACAAAGGCAAATGAGTAAGGTGCGAAAAAGTGATCTTTCTCTTCGTCCGCAGGATCGCGGTCTCTCCCGCACCTTTTAACACAAACGAAATTCGCACGAGCCAATGCATACTGCATACTTTGCCCCCATTCAGTCCTACGATCGAGGACTCGAGGTGAGAAAGTAAACAAAAAAGAATACGACACATGACATTTTATAGTCCAGGACTCATGGTGATACCGATATGAAACTAACAGAAACGTGGGGACGCGCAAGAATATTCACCACAACCCGAGTTAAAAAAAAGAGAGCTCCGAATTGAACTACGTACTCAGCACCAGTATACCTGAGTACCACTGGTCCGTTCTATACACGTTTAAATTTGAAAGTTCAAACAAAGTCAAACAGAAAGGATTACGATTACTAAGAGAGATTAGCGACAGGAGAAAGCCATGCAAATGCAAAGCGTTGGAATCTGTAATAAGATACTCCGGCCCAAGCCAAGTTCGAGGGGGATTTGAACGGAGAGAGGCTGAGAATTCCGAGGCAGTTGCCGGCCCAAGCCTTGGCACGCCCACGCGGATAAGGATCCTCTGCAGTCGACTGCACTGTGCCATTGTCACTGACATGTGGGTCCCCAGTCGAAGTCGACTGCAGAGGATCCCAATCCCGCCCACGCGGGCGGCTGTACGCTGCGGCTGCGGCTGCAGCGCGTGCGTGCGGAGACGTGCCGAAGTGTTGGCCCACGGCGGTGGCTGCCGCGCCCTGCCCGATGGAGAGAGGGAGGCCGGCCGCGGGCCTCGATCTTCGATCTTGGGGAGGAGGCCGGCCGATATGACGATATCCCGCGCAGATGGACCTGCACGTCCTGGCTCGTCGAGACGTCAATGTGCGGCAGCGTTGGCCGTTTGTTGCAGATGGGGAACGTGGAAATGCTGCTGGGGATGGATGGCTGGACGGCTGGAGCCTGGACCGCTTGTGTAGCTGATCTCCTCTGTGATGTACCGCAGTTTTTGCCAGCGTAGTAAAAACGACGTGTACCGTCACTGCCACACCGCCACCTGCGATCCTGGGAAAAAAATGGCTCGTTGGTTGCGACTTACTACTAACATAAGTCCATAATTAGGGGTTGGATACAACATGGGCCAGTTTGGTCACGCACAAGATGTGACGATACAGGCATACAGCCATATAGGCCCAATAACCCAAACCAAACCAAAACATGGATCTCCGTAGTTTGCTGTTTCGGTCGGATTAATCCATTCCACTTTACTCCAGCCAATCCTGGTTCCCGAAATCCAAACGAACGCAAAGCCCCCAAAAAAAAGAGTAAAGCGAAGGGCACCTTGGGGCTCGCGTCTGCCGGCGCGCATGGCTCCCGCATCCACCTCGCCGCCGGCGAAGGCCCAAGTGACGACGGCGCCGGCGAAGTCTCCCCTCGTCGGCGGACTTGCGGATCTGGACGCGGCCGTGTCCCTCCGCCTCCACGCCCTGTTCCTCCCGGTTCCCCGCCTCCTCCTCAAGGCCCTCGAGGTCGCCGGCGACGGCCGAATCTGGCTCCCCGTGCCCATATCCCTCCTCCTGATCTCCACCACCACCTCTTCCAAGGTATCCCCTCTCCTCGTCGGCCTCGTCGCCGGCCTCGTGCTCGACATCCTCTTCGTCGGCGCCGCCAAGCTCATCGTCCGCCGCCCTCGCCCGGCCTACAACGCCGCGGACATGTACGTGGCCGTCGCCGCCGACCACTGGTCCTTCCCCAGCGGCCACTCCTCCCGCGCCTTCCTCGTCGCCGCCTTCCTCGCGGCCGGCGGCTTCCCCCGCGAGGCGCTCTTCCTCTGGGCCGCCTCCACGTCGGCGTCCAGGGTGCTTCTTGGCCGGCACTACGTCCTCGACGTCGTCGCCGGGGCTTGCCTCGGGGTGTTCGAGGCCTGGCTCAGCTCTTTGTTGTTGAGGGCGATGTGTGCTCGCATCAGCTTCCTTGTGTGCTAGCTATTGTTCTCTCACGATTGGTTGCAGCATTTCTGTCCCGATTTGCAAATTTTGTGAGCAATTCAAGTTTAGCGAATACATTTTGTACTTAATTCTTGATGAATTGAGCATTATGCGAAGCAGCAAAGGAGTGATCACCCCAATTGCTTCTCTAAGATTAGTTAATTGGTAGAATGGTTGCTATATATATACTCCATTGGTAGAGTAAATTACTGCTCTTTCATTTCTGATTGTTGCAGATTAGAGTGATACTCTAACATTGTTAATCTGAGTATCTGGTTGACTTCATATATAAAATGTGTTCTTGACGGATTGTTCATTGTCTATGTTGCTATGCATTTGAACAGCATAGCATTGCTAGATATTCCATGGCAGATTGATCTACCATTTATAAACTCAGCAGAGGGAAGTGTTAACAGCTGCAAGAATTTTATGTTAGTAACATGGATCATTCATCATCGATCTCAGGTCAGTACTCCTCTTATCCAGTTCCAGTGAGATGTGCATATTGCTCTAGATGACTAGATCAGCACTGAATTAACAGATAAGTATGGTACTATTTTTCAGTGTTGTCATGGATAGTAGACATTATGGTCTATGGGCCTGAAACTGAGAGATCATACAGAAAGCAATCAATAATCAATACTACCAGGTACTGCTTGAAAGTTGAGTAAGAAAGCAACTTAACTCTATACTATTCGTCTCAATGGGATGTCATCATGTCAATTCAGGACATAGACTGTATTACTGACAACAATACTGGATGAGAAAACAAAGGAGCCAGTGGCCCCATTGCTGGATGAAATTTGGAATACTTGGCTGCACGACCTGGGAGAATGCAAGATGCGAGTGTGCCTGCTGTCCCTGTTCATATCCTGGTGTTGCTGGACCGTGACACATCGATGACAAAAGTGGGAGATGGAATAGCAAAAGCTGAAAAGAAGGTTGTTTCTTGCGTGGAAGCTTTGGATCTGAACAGTGACCTATCGTTGCTTAGCTCCAAATAAATATCCTGAATGCTTATCTGGTTATCTGGCAGCTCATAGCCTCATAAGCGCTAGTAGAGTAAAAGGCTTCTGTTTTCTGTCTGAAATGGCGGTTCTCTTGCCCTTTGAATTTCAACATAGAAGTTTGTTTTGTGGATTTAAACTAGAGACAAATACTAACCTTTCAATGTAGCAGTGATTTTAGCATTTAGTTATGTTATGTAGATTGCCAATCAAACAATGTGGGAAACAAGCTGGTGGCTGGCCACGGTGTTCAGAAATTGAGCAACAAGCTGGTACGCCATGAGCCCACACGATTTGATAGCTTTCGGTGTACATTCGATCATAGCATCAATAATTCCTCCATTTGGATTGGATACTCGGTGCATGTCAGCTCACAACCCACGTTCCATGTCGGAGTAAAACTCAAATGTAAGCGTATAAGAGTAATTCTAAACTAAAATTAAAATTTTCCCAAATTTGGAATGCAAGGTACTGTTATTTTGGTAAGGGTGGCAAGAAGAGTTCGACGTTTCGACGCTGAGTCAGACAGAGATATAGAACCAAAAAGAAAAGAACAGGTAAACGGAAAGCAAAAGGAGTTGGGATATTTTTCCCAGGCGACGTGGGCGGCGTATCCAGCCAATCCCAACTGGCGCTGGCGCGAGCCGAGGCGAGACCAACTACCAATCAACCAACTAACCGAACAGCGCGCGCAAGAGATGAAGCGGAAAGCTAGCAGCAGCAGCAGCCCAGATTGCCCACGACTCAAACTCCCAATCCCCAACCAATCGCCTATAATCCTTAGTATAGTTAGTTTATTCCAACCCGAATTCCAACCTCCCAAGAATTCAATCTCTTGTTCCGTTTCGCTTCTTTTAATTCAAGATTGAATCAATTACATAGCGTGTTTGCTTGTCGTTGATGCTTTGCTTCCTGGAGGAGGAAACGCCCGCACACGCCGCCGACCACCTCTCCGTTTCCTTGGATCTTTCAGCTTCCTGTTCCTCACGAGATCGAGAAGGGGGGAAAAAGAAAACGTCGGTTTTTAGTCTCGTTTGCCTCGATCCTCTCGTTCTTGGTTGGTCGGCGCCATGAGTAACACCCTGCTTCGAATCTACCCTTCCGAGCTGAAGATACCCTGTGAGTGCTTCGACGACCTGTCCTTTGTTGTTCTTGCTGTTTCTTGATTGTTTAGGACTGATTCAGATCGCCTCTGTTTCGATGCTCTGATGAGCAGTCGAGCTCAAGAGGCAGAATTCGGGGATCCTGGAGCTCACGAATAAGACCGATCATCATGTAGCCTTCAAGGTGAACACAAGTTGACAGTTTTTTTTTTGTCAGAGTTGCTGTAACCTGATTAGGTTGAGTTGACTGAATGTCTGAATTTCTTGGGTACTGGTTGCTCGATCTGCAGGTGAAAACGACGAACCCTAGGAAGTACTCGGTGAGACCAACCACCGGAATCGTTCTGCCCAGAGGGTCTTGCGGAATCACAAGTTCGTCTTGCTTCCTCTGCTGCTGTACATTGCCCAACTGATCAGTTCATCGTGTTTATAAACGCATTGCTGTTCTTGCTCTGAAAAATCGTTGCAGTATCTATGCAACCGCCGAAAGAGATCCCTACGGATTATAACTGCAAGGACAAGTTTCTCATCCAAAGCGTCGTGGTAGAGGATGGCACAACGCAGAAGGACATTCACAGTGACATGGTAAAATCCTGCAGTCTCAATCGAGTTCATAGATGCTGATTGATTTATGAGTGATGTACTAAATGTTAAATGTTGCGGTTTGTAGTTCAGTAAAGAGGCAGGCAAGGTGGTCGAGGAGTTCAAGCTGAGGGTGGTCTACATCCCTGCCAATCCTCCCTCCCCTGTGCCAGAGGAAGAAGAGGATGAGATTGATTCCCTTGATTCAGATGTGGACCATGAAGTGCAAATGCCATCTACGTTCGATGCTGTTAGTACTGACATTGTTGTTTATATCAAAATAACAATGATGATATGCTTGTTCCTAATGATAATTTATTTATGTTCAGGCATCAAGGAAGGGATATACATCTGGATCGCAAGCTTCACATGACGAGGTTATTATCTTTAAGCATTGCTCGTTGGCAGAATATTCCTTAGAGCTTACTATTGAACTAGACATTAAAGATCATAAACACGTACTCCCTCCGTTTCACAATGTAAGTCATTCTAGCATTTCCCACATTCATATTGATGTTAATGAATCTAGACATATATATCTATCTAGATTCATTAACATCAATATAAATGTGAGAAATGCTAGATATATGTCTAGATTCATTAACATCAATATGAATATGGGAAATGCTAGAATGACTTACATTGTGAAACGGAGGAAGTAGTAGTTTGTTGATTTGTTCAGTATAGGAATTCTACTGTTCTAAACAACTAACACCCAGCATTTTAATTGCATTGCTAACATTCTTGATTGTTTCGTGGTTCTTTAGGGCGTCTCTTTGACCAAAGCTGTATTGAGTAAATATGTAGATGAAAACCAGAAGCTTCAACAAGAACTGGTATGGATTTTCTTTAGATAAGAATTTGGAGAAAATTGATACTTTCAATGTTTTAAAAAAGAACTGACCGTTTAATTCGCTTCAACTTCTCCATAATTGAATAATTGAGTGATTCGTATGAAATTATTTTTTCTTGCTACCTTTAATGAGGTTCATATCATGATATTTGTTACGAGACATTGCTCCCTTTCGATAGTTCTTTTTTACTTAACCTTTTTTGCATACAACATATCGTAAATTTACAACATCTGCGTGCAAAAGCACCAGATCCACCAAAAGAAAAGAGAAGCAAGACTAGGGCAGATCAATTACTTAACCCCAAGTTGATCTATTGCAGGATCTTCTTAAGAAGAAAAGGTCATCATCCGATGGGGGTTTCACAGCTCTGTTTGTGCCTTTTGTCTTTGCGTTCTTCGTCTTCATTGGATACTTAATGGCGGGAAGCAATGTTTAGCCAGAATAGCTGCAAAACATACGCATCGTTTTGCAGAATTTTGTCCCTCTGGCTGATCAATTCTTTCTGTTTCTCTTGGTAGAAATATATTTCTTCATTATAGGTGGTTGTCTTCCGTTCTTGTGAAGTATAATATACCTCTTAAAGAATGGGAGAGAACCATTCATTGTAGATAGACAAATAGGCGTTCTATCTCTGAATTGTTCATATATAATAAACCTCTGGTTCATTATACACACACGTTTGCTTGTAAATGTGGTTGAGTGTAAATTTGACCTGCAGTATGGTCCTGGGTGAGTTCCAGAATCCTTTCACAGAGTACGTACCCGGTTCCAAATTCAGCGGATGAGATTACATATTGTAGTAACATTGTGATCCTCTGCTCCTGGTCATTGTTCACCCAAAAGCTTGAAACTAAGCAAATATTAATCAAAAGGTCTCTAAACACTCACAGTGACCAAGAAACACTTTTTATTAATCTCAGTATTGAACAATCCGTTAGGTCAGCAGGAACCACCAGGGCCTCCAACCCCCAGAACAAAGGTGGTAAATATGTGGTATAAAGTAAACTTACGTAAAAGCTCATGTAAATCCTGACTAAAAAGTCATCTAAGTTACACAACTATATAAAACTTGTCCAAATTTGACTTATATAAAAATAACAAATTTTGAACCTATCTCATAAACAAAATCGAGTTTGGACAAGATTTTTACATGTGTAATTTTTTCATTTGAATTTTGATGACTTTAGTCAAGGTCTACACGTGATTTTATCTAAGTTAAAGGTTTCCACCATATATTTACCTAAACACAGGTCTTTTTGGGGAAAATTTGAGATTGTAAGAAGCATTTTGTAAGCAACCAACTATAACTAGTGAGAATTTGGAAAACAAAAATGAGTTTCCTAGCTTCTAATTTTCTAGATTCTGTAGCTACGACATTGTTAACTTTAGTTTTGGGAAGCTTAAGATGCTAAAAGACAACTGGTAAGCAACCCAGCTTCTAAGAATTTTAAAAAATAAAATGGGATTTCTAGATTCCATAGCTATGTCCCTGTCGCGGACGCACAAAAGACGCATACCATTCTATTAGAAGCAGTACGATCTTATTTGGTGGAGTTGAAAATTATAAGAAACAACTGACAAGCAATCAACCAACATATACTGAATATGGGAAAGTTTCTTTTAGCTTTTCTAAATTAAGTACTGATTCTTAAACTTAAGTGAGAATCTAGCCTGTTCAGGGGCGACGGCTAAAGGACATAGCACCACTAGTCTACGCGATTGCAAAAAAGAAGAATGCAAGCCTGCAACAAGTATCGCTTTCCCGACCAATGGTTGGTTGACCTCGGTTTGCCGGTAACCTCAGGCTGGACGACAGAACTAATTAGCCAACTTGTCAATGTCTAGGGTGCTGTTCATAGCCTGCAGTTGACAGAGTACGAAAAGGACAAGATCACATGGAAGCTAACTAGTCACGGCGAATACATGACGACATCGGCCTACAACGCACAACTTCTTGGCATAAAAGCTTCAATTTCAATGCCCCTATCTGGAAGCCCTAGGCGCCGCGCAAATGTAAAACATTCGCTTCGCTTGGCTTGTTATCCAAAATAGAGTATGGACCTCCGACAGATTGGCAACCCGTGGGTAATCGAAAATGGCTCCATCTGCCCCTTTGTCGAAGGAATCAGGAAACGGCCCTCACCTCCTGGCGGAGTGTAGATATGTGAAAGAATCTAGGCGACACTTGCAGACTGGACAACATGTGAACAAATAAGACCAACGTTATGGCAACAAGCCTCGACGCTACTCAAGTGGTGGGAGGCCACCGCATGTTCCAACGAAGCGCCAAAGAAAGCCTTGCAGACTCTAATGCTATTAGTCGCCTAGGATATTTGGAATGAAAGGAACCGCAGAGTTTTTCAGCACCAAGAGCTTCCGGTGGCTAGTCTGATAGCCAAAATTAAGGAGGATGCCAAAACATGGGTCTTGGCGGGCGCGAAACACCTTGATAGGTGGCTTACCTTTTAACATGTTCGGGCCAAAGGCCTTGAGACGGTAAAGTTTTCTATTTGCGCTTGCGCATGTACAATTTTATTCCTCTATTCAATGAAATTGGTGGCTCACTGGTTCATTAAAAAAAAAAGAATCTAGCCTGTTCGGGAAGAAGAGGATTTTGTTCGTGAGAGAGAGAGAGAGAGAGAGAGAGAGAGAGAGAGAGAAGGAGGAGGAGGATTTTCAGGCTTCGCATTGCCCAACCTCTGCTTCTGTTGGCCCAAGAAGAATCCCAGGCGCCCATGGGCTGGCAGTTTACCACGGACCTACCTAGCCTACCTTAGCTATCTAAGCGGGCCGACCTAGTAGCCACGTGCCTAGTGTAGATTAAAGTTGCCGGGCCAGCAGGAAGCCACGCTGCAATGGCATCTTCCCCTGTCCTTCGCGTACGTGAAAACAAACCCAGGTAAGCTTAGAATCTTCTTGCCCGTTGGACTGGGACACCCACCAATCCCACCATGCCCCGATATTCCTCCGGTCTCGGTTCATGTGATGTCCTCTCTTGTGTGATCACGGAGCAAGCATTCTTAAACGGCAAAAGAAAATCACCAACTTGCTCACGCAGTCACGCTGCACCGCGCGAAGCGACGCCCGATAGGCCAAGATCGCGAGATAAAATAACAACCAATGATCATAAGGAAACAAGCCCGCGATGTGTCGTGTGCAGCAATCTTGGTCATTTGCGGGATCGAGTGCTTCACAGCTAACCAAATATTCGGCCGATGATTTAACACATTATCAGCGTAGATGTACGTACGATTTGTTAATTAATCTACGAGCCTTGCTAGGGCAGGTGTTCTGCCAGCCAATCCAGATCGCCCTCGTATGCACGCTCACATGATGGCAGGGCAGGGTTCACATGAGCTCTAACGGTCGATTAATTAATCCCGGGGCTCGACTATAAATACCTCCCTAATCCCATGATCAAAACCATCTCAAGCAGCCTAATCATCTCCAGCTGATCAAGAGCTCTTAATTAGCTAGCTAGTGATTAGCTGCGCTTGTGATCGATCGATCTCGGGTACGTAGCAATGGCGTCCAAGGCGTTCGCTCTGTTCCTGGCCGTGAACCTCGTCGTGCTCGGGGTGGCAAGCGCCTGCGGCGGCAGCCCGTCGTGCCCGACGCCGACGCCGTCGACCCCGACACCGTCAACGCCGACGCCGACGCCGTCGGCGTTCGGGAGGTGCCCCCGCGACGCGCTGAAGCTGGGCGTGTGCGCCAACGTGCTGGGCCTGATCAAGGCCAAGGTGGGCGTGCCTCCGGCGGAGCCGTGCTGCCCGCTGCTGGAGGGGCTCGTCGACCTCGAGGCGGCGGTGTGCCTCTGCACGGCCATCAGGGGCAACATCCTCGGAATCAACCTCAACCTCCCCATCGACCTCAGCCTCATCCTCAACTACTGCGGCAAGACCGTCCCCACCGGCTTCAAGTGCTAAGCAGCGTGCATATGCAATGCCTGCATGGGTTGATCCTACGTACGGTGATTAGTTGGCTTTGACGACTCTTGATTTGATTTGCTTGCTGCTCTGTTTATTTGCTACTACGTTACGTACGTACTTTGCATGCAACGCAACGCATGATCGATCGTGCATGCTGGCTGTTTGTACGTATCACGGTACCAGTTTGGATTCTCTCTGTACTCTCTCCTTTGTCTTCTTTGTAGTACTCTTATTCCCGCTATCCGTACGTGCGCATTTGTTGTAAGGGCCGGTGCTAGCTTGTGTGCCGGTACCAACTTCTAATAAAGCTTTGGTTTGCAACTTCAGATATATATGTACTTCTGTTTGTGATTGTTTGCTGTGTGTGTACATATGTGTGCGTGCACGACTACAGCTCCGCGCGTGCCAAATTTGTGAGAAGTTTAACATCGTTATATGATTTATGCTTTTAGTTTTAAAAAAATACTTTTATAATATGTACTCGTATGTTGTTAAACTATACAAAATTTTAGATACCGTAGTTAAAGATAAAAATAGTTGACTTTAGGACAAAACTAAAATATATACCATATATATATGAAACGGAGGGAGTAATGCTAATACTCTAGCTTTCGGTACTACATCTCTAGAATCAAAATCGTTCATACTCTCTCCATCCATATTATAAGTCATTTGATTTGTAGTAAGTCACACTTGAATAGTTTGAAAAAGCTCATTTAAAAAATCAATAATATTCTAACATGAAACAAATGTACTCTTGAAAATATATTCAAGGATGGATTTACTAAAACTAGTTTTGTATTGTAGATGCTTCTATGTTTTCTAGACTTAGTTAAACTTAAAACAAAAATAATATAAAACAAACATCAATGTCTTATAATATGTAATAGAGAGAGCCCATACATTCGTCCAGGTTATGAAATAACACGTTCAATTGTTAATAATGACTATCGAACAACTTTAAAATTTTCTATATGCTTTGTAGTTGGTTTCAAAATGGGATATATATATACTCACATGCAAATTTATTTACTATCACAAACAATTCCGAACTCTAGAATAAATAAAATACACCATGATACCACAATTAATTTGTGTGGTGTGTGCAATTTAGTTACTCATCTCGAAATTAATTACTTAAATGAGCTACTCATCTTATTTTGAGGATGTAAATCTCATTGACACATGTTACATGGGCTGTTCGATCGTTGCCAAAATGCCAAGTTGAACGCCATGGCGGTCACTACACCATGTCCAAATTAACATTCCCATCCGACTTTAGATGGAAAAAAATATCTATACTGACATCCAGTCGGTCGGTAAAAATTTTTCGACAAACATACAGACCGGTCTCTTTTAACGTAGAAACACATAATGTAATACTTCTTTTTTTTTAAAAAAAAGCCCTCATAAAGAACAAAGCGCGCAAAACATATATATAAGGGGGATAATTTGCTTTTTATTCCTTTTCTTAAGTGCCTACCTTGCCCGTGTTACTTTCGAGCACATCGTATTAGGTAAATATGACATCCAACTTGGCATCAAACAACCACACGTCTTGTATTTAATGATATATGCACCCTAGAGACAAGATAACTACTAACTCACAAGATAAGTGAGGTAAGTTATACCACCTCACAAGTTAGGGAACTGTCGGTGTATCTTACTATTCATATTAATATTTCAAAAACCCAAAATAAACGTTTACTAATATGCACTTGTCTTGTATTATATATAGACCATTCAAATATGTTTATTATTTCTTTACTTTTTTTCTTCATTTAATAACTCCAAAACAATGTCCTCGCAAAAAAAAAACCTCCAAAACAATGAATTTACATAGACATAGTTGGTGTAAGATGCTACATTTATTACTTATTACTTGAAATTTTACTTGGTGGAGCCTTAGTTTTTCTTTTTCGTAATCAAATAATTTTATGACTTGAAATTAATAAATATATAGCTTTACCTAGTTTGGAGTCTTAATTTCAATTACTATGATTATTAGGGAATTCGGTAAAACATATCAAGTAATAATCATTGAGTCATATATTTACATCCTAGTTTAATTATTCTTAAATTTGCAATTAAGGATTAGTTATAGTTGTATACCCATGTCCCTAAAACCATTATCGTTATGTCCGGTCTGACCTTATCCTCAAACCAAATACATCCCATAATGGTAGAATGTGATACAAATAATAGAGGCTAGACACATCAAACATTTCTAGTCCGGACGATTGCTCCTATTGGCTCACCAACAAGGCATGCAGTTGTTAAGATGATGTCCTCATGGTCAGTTCTCGTCAAGATTTGGTGTCCTAGCTTCTATCGACCTTCCATTGTGAAAGAAATTAATCTCGCATTCCTCACATTTTATTCCTGTCGACGCGTACCTGGTAGTGGTCGTGAGGATAGAATAATCCAAACAATATTTTGTTAATCCTTACGGTTTTACTCCGTCAGTAAAAGTCTGTTATCTCGTAGGGAGATTTGGGTTTGGTGTATTTGGAGTTACGACCCTCTAGCGTGATGTGTTATTTGTGTGCCTGCGCGCGCAAGCGTGTGTGTATATATGTATAGAGAGAAAGATGAGTAATCCTTTAGTTTGTTTTTTGTTCCTTAAAAAAAAGGTGCTACTAGAATGTTCTTAGTGCCAAACTTAATAGTACCCACCGATCACAAATATAGGGCCTGTTCACTTTGATGTCATTTTCAACCTTACCAAATTTTGGTAAAGTTGCCAAAAAAGTGGTTACATTTAGCAAGTTACCAAAATTTTGGCAATGCCAAAATTTAGGAAGGTTTTTTTTGCATCAAAGTGAACATACCCATAACGATTAAAATTTATCAATGAATATTGTGTAAAGAACTTGTAGCCTATTTCCTCCGTTCCAAAATGTAAGATGGAGGGAGTAGCTAGCTAGTACACCCCCACCGAATTGCCACCCTCATTTAGTTCTCACAGAAATACTATAACCATACTCCCACCTCTCGTATATATTTGTGAACGGAAGCGGTAGACAATTAAATACAGTAAATCACTCAAAACTAAACCACAGAGAGGACAGTATAACTAGTTCTCAACATGTTCCGATTTTAGTTGTGCTCTACTCCCTCCGTCCTAAAAAAAACCTAACCTAGTACTTAGATGGGATATAGACTAGTACACATGTCCATATTCGCTATACTAGATTATATCCCATTTAAGTACTAGGTTAGGTTAGGTTTTTTTAAGACAGAGGGAGTACACCTTAGTGAGAGTATATACAAATTAATTAAGCACACCTCTTAGGAAACTAACATTTTTTCAGTGTGAACTACCTCCTGAGAGCAAGTTTAATACTAGTATAGTCAAATGTTAGCTATAAATCATTTATAGCTAATTTAATAGTCTATTCATGTAATAGTTAGTTATAAAAATATACTACACCATTAATATCCAGCCACCTCTCATACACCGTGTTAAAGCTGGCTACAAATTTATAGCATGCTTTCTTCTCTCTCTTCTTTTTTCTTCTTGATACGTGGTTATAGTTGACTTATAACCTGCTATTGCTATATGCTCTGGGTGTTGCACTAGATAGTACAGCTGCAGACATAGTAGTTCAGTGAATCAGTACTAGTATATCCCAAGGGCCAATAACGCTACAGCGCATACATTTCCACGCTAGGCCCTACCCTGCAGTGTGGGAGAATGGTTGAATCAGTATGAGCCACACGTACAATTAAAATATCTCTCCAACAAGATCAAAAAAAGAATATCTCTCCAACAGTTAGTCATTCATAACCCTGTGTCGTATGCCATGTTGTTTTCTTGTGTTAGACCCGTTCTGCAATAATGCAACTGTCACGAGCCCTTGTTTGTTCTTGGCAACTTGGAAAAAAGGAAATGACGATGATGCATGCTCTGCCGATCTGGAGCGTCGTTGCTTACTCCTATTCCCGCCGTTGGTTTCAGGTAAAAGGAAACTCATACTGCATGTACCAAAAGGCAGAAGAAGAGTCACATATGCAAGCAACCTCAAAGCAACGCACGTACACAAAATCTCATGGATTTGTGAGTGCCAAACACATCTCCCCGTCGATCGCTGGTCGTGCTCCTCCTCTGGGCCACTGAGTTTCTGTTGCGCCACTTCGTTGTTCAGGCTATCCGGGCCATCTGCCGGCCGGCAAATGTGACGTTGATGAGTTGTGCTTCGGCCAGTGATCACAGAGCGCGCAGAGAGGCGGCCAGGGGGTCTAGAAAAAAGCAGAGAGAACGGATGGTCCAGTCCATGTACTCCATGGGGCAACACAGCATTGACTGCGCCCTGTCCACAGCCACGAGCTGGACAAGACCCTTGTCGCTGGCTCACTGCCAGTTTTATCTTTGCCAGCTCAAGATACACACACCTTTCGTATCACTGTCCACGGTCATGCATCTGATCTGGCCTCCATGCATGTGATTTGGGTTCCCTTTTATTTCCAAAAATTCATTCGTAATGACATTTTTTTTCTTAATGTGAATCGAACATCATTTTTGATAACAATCCGGCTCAGGTAGGGTCGGCCGAGACCCAATAACTTAAGATTGCTCGGACCCCAACAGTTCTTAGTCACACCCACTCGGGAAAATACCCAATCTCCCAAAAAGACTAGTCCAATAGGGAAATGGTGGCTCTCTCTTTTAAGGTGGCTTTCTCCTTCCAAGCTAAGTAAGGTGGGATTATTCAGAGGCTCACACGGTCGCCACCCGACTTTTGCGTCTTTGCCAGCGGGTAATAGTGGAGGATGTCCTCATCAATTTTTTTGTGATAATAGAACTCTTTTTGCCAGTGTCACTGACCCATATTTTCTTAACAAATGAGGAGTAATCAACACTGATAAACCGTAAAGTGAGCACAACTCAGCTTATTAGGTTCATTGTGACGAAATCAGTATACCCGAGCTCAATTACTAGATTTTACACGGGTGCTTGTATTTATGATTAATTATTCTTTTGGTGATAGACGACGTATATGTCAACAACAAGGCGTCCATGGTGACTCCTCAAATATTAAGATATACTGATCTAGACTTTTAGAGTGTTGTGTGCGCACGTGTTTCATAGGGGTGAATGTAGGGATACTGTGAGCATTATGTTTGTACAGTGTTTCTTACAAAATTTAACACACGTAGCCTCGGTTGTCTAGGACTATCTCCGTTTTAAGTTATAAGACTTTCTAGCATTATCTATATTCATATATATATTAATGAATCTAGACGCGCGCGCGCATATATATATATATATATATATATATATATATATATATATATATATATATATATATATATATATATATATATAATATGTGAATGTGGTCAATGCTAAAACGTCTTATAATATGAACGGAGGAAGTATTAGTCGGTAAGTAGATGGCAGTAGCTCCCAATTAATTCCTGTCATTTTTCCACTCAACTCAGCGACCAGTGGAAACAAACCACTTCAAATTTTTGCCCAATGTTCGCAGCAATCATTTTTAGGTGTACTCTATTTAGGAAAGAATATACTACCTTTAAGACATTACGAGTACGTTTGATGGATTCTATACATAAATTATATGTGATTTAACATTTAATTACTTCCAGTAGAATGATAAATTATTTTTTGGTAATTGTAGAGAGCGCGGTTTAAATGGTGGGGATCAAACTTACTCCCTCTGTCAAAAAAAAACTCAACCTAAGAGGGAATCCTTCTAAGACAACGAATCTGAATCTGGACAAAGGGGTAGTCCAGATTCATTGGACTGGAGTGGTCTCATCCCCTCCTAAGTTAAGTTTTTTTTATGGAGGGGTACCCATTACCCATTGTACCGCTTGTCCCTCTCACTTCGCGCTGACAATGCCACTTGCCCATTTCTATGGATTTGGCCTAAATTGTCCACATTTCATCTCAGATCGAAAGCTGCTAGCTACTCCCTCCATCCTAAAAAAAGATAAACCATGGGTTTCCGTGTCCAACGTTTGACTGTCCGTCTTATATGCAATTTTTTTATAATTAGTATTTTCATTGTTGTTAGATGATAAAACATGATTAATACTTTATGCGTGACTTGTTTTTTTAATTTTTTTTATAATTTTTTCAAATAAGACGGACGGTCAAACGTTGGACACGGAAATTCAGGGTTTGTCTTTTTTTTTTGGGACAGAGGGAGTAGCTTGCTTAAAGTGAGTGTTTTACTTATGACTAATGCAGTTCGTGGTACAACACAAAGAGGTACTTTTGCGTGTGGTATTCTTGAACAGCTAGCTACTTTTTTTTTAGAAAAAAACGAGCTAGACTTAGCTGGTGTTATATATTAATTAAGCAGAGGGAAAAATATTTACATGCGTGTAAGTACAGAGGCGGAATCAGACATGGGGCAGCTAGGGCTTAGGCCCCATGCCTAGCTCCATAATCCCTATTATAATCTTGAAAAATGCTATGTAATTTATGAAAATATTTGAGATCCTATTAGCTCAGTCCTAGGTGTGGAAATTTTCTGGCTCCGCCACTGTGTGAGTATGTGACTTGCTTGGGTTATAAGTTGGCATGCAATAGATGTGTTTTGTGAGGTGTTTTATGCACATCCGCATATGCATGACAAATATCGTGCTGTCAATATCTATCAACATAAGTTGCAATTAGCTCGGCATAGTTTTGCATGTACTTACTTCGCTGTATAGGAGGTGGTGCGTCCTGAAATGCGAATTATTACATGCATGCATGATTTGTCAGTCTTAAAAAAGATATGCTCCCCTCATGTATGCTGGTCTTCAAATCCAGATCCGCCTCTTTTGTTGTCTTGCATGCATGTATATCAGCATCTTTGTGAGTTACTAACAAAATTGGTTCCACATAGATATATATTGCTATATCTGACTTATATTAATTACCTTCAGAGGTAATCTTAATTGAAACATATTTTCTTCCTTAAGATAGTTGTTTCCCACTATATACTTCACACAACCGCATATGGTGCGCCCTTTTTAGTGCAAACAATATTAATTTATTAACAACTTTAATTTGAGGCCAACTCTTAGGCTCTCGTTATTATTTGTCACCCACACTTATAAATCAAAATCATTTAATTTCCATATATAATATATAATATATAACCCGGCCCTATGCAAACAATCTGTATACATAAAAATATGATGTATAATAATCAATTTTGTGAAATACAGTCGACTAATCGGAATTATATATGTGAAATACATACAGAGAGGGTACCACTCAACAATTAACCGAAACATGAAAAATTAATCAGAATTATATGTGCGAAAATTTGGCTTATGCATATATATGTATATATTTTATAATATTATGAGCTTCTTTGGATATTTAAAAACATAAAACTATATAAGCCTAATATGTCAATTGAATGGTCATAGCTTACATTAACCCAAAATATAGCTTTTGATGCTCATAGTTGTACACCAAATAGTGATGGAGTTTGGTTCATATTGGATAAATAAAAACTACTCCCTCCATCCCACAATATAAGTGATTTTGAGTTTTTAATTGCAACATTTCATCACTCGTCTTATTCAATTTTTTTTGCAAATATAAAAAACGAAAAATTGTGCTTAAAGTACTATAAATAATAAAGTAAGTCACAAATAAAATAAATAATAATTTCAAATTTTTTTGAATAAAACGAGTGGTCAAACGTTGCAAGAAAAAACTTAAAATCCCTTATATTATGGGACGGAGGGAAACACTAAATAAACATATAGAAACACTAAACAAATTAATAAGATCATAAAAGATAAATATGCTACTTTAAATGATCAAGTGTAATATACGAACGATTATTTATAGATGATAAAAAGAAGGTTCAATCAATTGCTAAAAATGGAGTTTTTATGCTCATAAATGATAATTGTACTATGTATCGCGTCAAAAAAATAGTTCATGCCCATTGTAGGTACACTGGGTAATATATCGTCTAGTGTCCAATGTGATCACCACATGTATTTGGATCCCACTCATCCAAATACATATGATGAACCCTACTGAGGGCGTTGAGGGTAGTTTAGCTTGGCTCTTGCCCTGGTTGGTTGTCTGTGTGGAATGGTTGGCAAATACGGGTTTGGTTTTGCTTATATGAATTTATGAGACTTTTGCTGCTATCTTTGTGTTGTATGACGGGTTTATGAACCCGGTTATGTTATATGTATCTTGCTGCTCTCTTATCCATATTTATGCATTTGTGATGCTTATGAACAGCTTGCGATGAAAGTGTGAGGCTGGTCGCTTTTTCTAGGGACTAGCTAAGCATGATTAAGTGTTTTGAGTAATTGAGATGATCGTGAAATGTAGTGCTTTGGTTCAAGTACCCACTGAGGTATGTAACACATTTGATCGTCGTCTTTGAGTGGTTTGACGGGTATATATTAAGTTGAAATTGCCTAGCAAGTTATTCTATCGAATATCTCTCTTACTCACTACTCGGCATCATAGTTCATATATTGAAAGGTAAGTGTTAACCGTGATCATGGACACACTGAAGATGAGTGACTATTTTTGTATGGATAACACTCAATCAAATACATGTGGTGGTCACGTTAGACACTGAACGGTATATTACTTGGGTTGCCTACATATACAAACAACTAAAGTAAATGACTGGTAAGCCCGTTTTCTACAACACTGGCGCAAATCCGCATCTAATATATGTGCATGATCGATCATTCAGGATGTTCTTTTATTGTGAAATAAGCGTAGCTTAACTGGTTAGGTTTCTCTAGTTGGAACCAGCTCATCCGGATTTAAGTATCACATTTACGTCTATTTTTTCTTTTAGTGATAGCCAATGTACCATCAACAGTGAGACACTCGTGGTGACTTCGTCAATCCCAATATATGATGGATCAGTCTTTCACATATGTTCATATGAGAAGGGTGTGTTTTTGTATTAATAGGGATGTGTGTGCACGAACTGTGAGCATCTATATTTGTAATGTATTTCTTAAAAAAAAGTACGTTACTCTCACAAAAAATCATATATGCACATAATGTATTAATCTTGGGGAAGATCTGCGAATATGGTTTGTCAGGAGGAGTCTTTTGACAACAACAGATTGCTAGGGTTCTGGTTCTCTCCCCTACAAATACCCACGTACTCTGCTGAGTTTTCGCACCTCTCTCTAGTTGCAGACCATCACTTACGTAGCCCTGTGTGCAACGGCGCAAGTGCTTGTACGCTTTCAGCTAGCGTAGCCATGGCTTCCAGGGCATTCCTCCTCGTGGCTCTAAACCTGGTCCTCTTCTTCACCGTGGCCAGCGCCTGCGGCAAGTACTGCCCGACGCCTTCGACGCCGTCGACGACGCCATCGACGCCGTCCTACAACACCAAGTGCCCCAAGAACGCGCTCAAGTTCGCGGCGTGCGCCGACGTGCTGGGCCTCGTCAGCGCCGAGGTCGGCCAGCCGCCGTACGAGCCGTGCTGCGGCGTCCTCGGCGGCCTCGCCGACCTTGAGGCCGCCGTCTGTCTCTGCACCGCCATCAAGGCCAACGTGCTCGGCATCACCCTCGACATCCCCGTCAAGCTCAGCCTCCTCGTCAACTACTGCGGCAAGAACGTCCCTAGTGGCTTCATCTGTGCTTAAGCTACGTAACGCGCGTACGGTGTAACGACGTGCTAGCTTTGCATGCATGCAGCACGCATGCACGAACACATCGTTCGTTCTTGAGTGCCTGCATGCATATCGGTCGAGTCTTTACTTACTCTGTTATTAGTTCTGAATGTAGAACTGCTTCAGATATCAATCCAGCGAGTTAACTGTACTTGATTTGTTTATGTTTCTTCAGTTAATCAGTTTCTGTCATCATTTGGTCAATTAATGGAGGTTTTGTTCTCCAAGGAATTGCATGCAATGGATACTCTTTTAGATTGAATTTGGCGTGTCTATGTCTGGGTGTGGTTGTAATTTGCTTGCAGTACGTTCTCGTAGTTTAATTGTAAGCAAGCAATTGTACGACAAAATGTACTTAGGACAGTTAATTTGTTGGAAATTTCGGTGTGAATTATTTTTTAAAATTTACATCTGTTCCACTAAGAGACAACATATAACAGTAGATTGGCTCTCAATTTTGTTCTTTTTAGTTGGAGGGAAAAACAGAGACACAACATATATAGAACCTATATATATATATATGTATAGAGTTTGCCTCCTTATAAATTAATACACGCTCAACTAGTATATATATTAGTGATTTTGGATTTTAAAGTTCAACTCTACGGGCATGTTCACTTTGATGCCAAAAAAAACCTTACCAAATCTTGGCATTACCAAATTTTGGCATAGTTGCCAAAATTTTGGCAGGATTTCTTTGGCCTGTTCACTTTGATGTCATTTTCAACCTTACCAAATTTTGGTAAAGTTGTCAAAAAGTGGCTACATTTAGTTTGCTGCCAAATTTTTGTAACTATATAAGAAATCCTACCAAAATTTTGGCAAGTTGTCAAAATTTTGGCAACTATGCCAAAATTTTGGAATGCCAAAATTTGGTAAGGTTTTTTTTGGCATCAAAGTGAACAGGCCCCTTATATAGTTACCAAAATTTGGCAGCAAACTAAATGTAGCTATTTTTTTGACAACTTTATCAAAATTTAGTAAGATTGAAAATGACATCAAAGTAAACAGGCCCTACTTATACACCATGTCACCATCGTAAAACAACGTAGGTGTACGATGAAATTACCACCGAAATCACGTCGATTAATCCACACGTATGTACGTGTTTTAAACCGTCATACAAAGGCGCTGCATGTATATATAGGCCGCCGAACAGTACTGTATTCCTCGTGATAAGCCTACTTCACCGTGAGCACAAAGAAAGCCAATTAGGACCGAGTTTAGCGCCTGTTCACTTTAACGCCAAAAAAAACCTTACTAAAATTTGGCAATAATTTTGATAGGATTTCTTATATAGTTACTAAAATTTAGTAGCAAACTAAATGTAGCCACTTTTTCGCAACTCTACCAAAATCTGGTAAGATTGAAAATGATATCAAAGTGAACATGCTCTTAGTTCCAAATTTTTTCTTCAAACTTTCAACTTTTCCATCACATCAAAACTTTCTTACACACAAACTTCTAACTTTTTCATCACACATTGTTTCAATTTCAACCAAACTTTTAATTTTAACGTGAACTAACACACCCTAGAACAAAATTTTCCCTACTCCTAGAGTAGTAATTTGGAAGACGGCGGAACCCTCCAGAAGCATTCACGTGAATACGTGACGCCTTCTTCAGGCTTCAGCTGTCCAACATGACGCGAACGTACGTAGCGCGACAGGGTTGACGTGATCCATGCAGGCCTCTTCTGCGTGGCCAGGCAGGCCTACTGGCACATCGATCCGCTTCACCCAAGAAGCGGATTCCTGGTCGCCGGACGGCACAGCCGCGGCGCAGACGCGCAGTGAGATCTTTTTTACCTCCACGGCTCGCGCGCGCAGCTGCAGTAGCCAGTGCTATGAGTGTTGGGACCCAACCTGCCAAGTGCCAACCAAACCAAAGGCGGCAGATGCGCGGAGCCGGGAGCCCGTGACCGCGCGTGGGCCTGCCGGCTGCGGGGTGGCTGCACCACCGGCCACTAGGGATGAAAACGGAGCGGATAGTTTCCGTCCGCTCTGGACAAAAACGGATACGGATACCTTTCGAATCGGATAATTCTCGGATAGTTCGGATACGGATACGAATACGGATATTTTCTCCCGGATACGAATACGAATATGGTACCAGATTTTCCGTCGGATACGGATAATAATTCGGATATCCGGTGAACAGTGCTATTCGGATATCCGCAGGACCCATGAGACATACCCCATTTCTTTCTAATTCTATAACCTTCAATATACCTTTATAGATTTTAATAGTAGTTTATCTCTTAACACTAGTCCATACTATTAATATTATTTAAATTTTAAAAAATATTTATAAATTATACCTCATTTTATATAAAATGAGCTAATTATATATGTTGATATTTGTTTCCATTAGAAGTTGAGTTGGTTTTCGTGTTCCGAGAAAAATTTGTTTCCGTATTTGTGTCCGATCATATTCGATTCTTATTCGTATTCGAGATAATCCGTATTTGTTTCCGTATTCGAGCTATCCGTATTCGTTTTCGTATCCGGTAAAAAATATGAAAACGAATATGTATGAGCATTATCCGTCAATATCCGCTCCGTTTTCATCCCTACCGGCCACCGGACGAGCGCGTCTGCGTCTGAGTAGTTTGTGCGCATATACCCACCAAAGAAGGTACCGATCGACCAGTAACAACCCATCAGGTGTCCAGTTGGGCGCGGGGGCGGCCGCGCCGGCCCACCCCACAGGACGGACGGGCGCGCGTTTCATCGCCCCGTGACGAGGTCTCGGTTTCATGTGGCCGGTTGCCCGGTCCGTCCCCCGACAGCTTGATCACGTCGTCACTCGTCACACGCGCTGGATTTCTTCGTCTCGCCGCTGCGTCGGGTAGGGCAGCGCACGGCACAGTGTATGCAGAGATCGGGTTCACCGCTGCGCACGGCACGCATAGTACACGAAATTTAGTGGACGTGGAGTCCGTGTGCCGAACACGCGGAAAAAGGAGTCGCTGACTGGCAGTGAGATGTACGAGATGTCTTCATTGCCCCGTTGGATATCCGGCTTGGATTGAGCATTGGCTAATTTATGAACACACAGACATAAACACTGGTGAATGGAATCAAACCCGGCCCTCACAACTCCGTCATAGCAGCTTATCTGTTTTTTTTTTAATCATTGCAGCTTATCTGGTGAACAGACTTTTCTGTTGTTATAGTTGTTCACATATTCATCCATTCTTACATCACAGCGCTACCTACTGACTTTTAATTGGAAGGCTACGTATACGCCTTGCGCCAATCTCTATAAGTAAAAAGTTTTTCGCAGGATGTTCCCAAGATGAGCCACATCGTCGAGCGAAGATGACCGTTGGATTTATATGTAGAACCAATATTTACCGTTGAATGAAATAGAAAGGAGGTATCTAGAATCTTCATGTGGCTTAGGTTGGAAAGATTCATCAGATGTTAACAGAAAGGACAAAAACAAATGTGCTATAAAGATAGAGATGCAAATTAATGACCCTTTGTAATATTTATTTTATATAAATAGGTCATAAAGATGGTTTTTTAGTATTTTTAAATGGTTACAATGTAAAACTTATTTACAAATAGATCCATAGCTCGGGACGAGTGTTTAAAAAATAAACATATTTTAGTTTAGATAGATTTACACGAGTATAATACATAAAATTTATCTAGACATACATAAGTACATTACCAAAAAAAGAAGTACGTATGTTCTAATTAGTATGCTATAAAACAGGGTGGAAAACTAACAATTTTCAATAAAGTAACATCTACATGATAAATTCAAGATCATTTTAAATGCATAAATCCTTACAATACTTTAGCGGTGATCAAATATACTAATCTTATAAAAATCATGGGCTATGAAGACTATGGGTCGCTAAGAGGGACAAAGAGTGTGTATCAACAACAAGGATAGGGTGCGCTCTTTTTCCGTAAAGGAATTGAACATAAATATGCATGCTCTTCGAACTTATAAATGGTGTGTGTGTGTTTTTTAAATGCTACATCCGAGTTTCTTTTCATTAAATACCATTTTTAAATGCTACATCCAAGTTTCTTTTCATTAAATACCATTGTGTATTTTTCATTCATGTGTTCCTCGAATCATTAAGCTATTCAACATTCCATTCCATTTCGTTCAGCCTAAAAGGACACGTCTAAACCTAAACAAAACATGTTTACTTTTGAACTTCCCTATTATGAGAAAATTTGACCAAGGATGGCTACTCATGGCCGTGTAAATCACTTAGCATAATTATCAGAAACTTTATATTATCATGTTAGTCTATTATCGAATTGTTATAAATTTAAGAGTAAATTTCATAAAACTACAGATATTTTGACCAAATTATCACAAAACTACAGATTTAAGGAGTTGTATCACAAAACTACACATTTAGCACCAAAATTATCATAAAACTGCAGATTTTAGGTTAAGTATCACAAAAATGCATATTTAATATTGAACTTATCACAAAACTACAACTTTTGAAGTTTAAATCCCTAGCACCATTGTTATGGTGGAGCTATAAACATTATTACTTTGTGATTAAATTGGTTCTAAACCTATAGTTTTATAATAATTTAGTTACTAAACATGTAGTTTTGTGACACTTCATCTTAAATGTATAGTTTTGTGATATATTTGGTGTTAAATGTGTAGTTTTATGATAATTTGGTCATAGTATCTGTAGTTTTGTGAAATTTACTCTAAATTTAAACTAATTAGCACAACTCAACATGTAAATATATTTAATAAAGAGGGTGGTTATAGTTACGTGAAAAATACGATTTAATAGGCTATATATGAATATGAGCTTTGTGAGTGTCCAATAGCGACCTTTAAATTACAAATCCATGTGATATGTCATGAGTGTCAAAAATACGATTAACCTTGATTGACCATAACTTATCTTTAGCAAAATTGGCAATCATCTGCTACTCGTTCAAAGAAAAGTTCAGATTGACCTCAATATCTCATTAGTCACAACATTACGTGCATTAACTAGATTGCCAACAACATTTGTTGTTCGATGACTGTATCATTAGAAAGATTTATTATCTTATTGCCTATATCTTGTTCACCGTCACTCTCGAAGGTTAAACTGAAAGTGCTCCCTTTCCTTAAAAAAGTACACTTTGTTTTTTTTAAAAAAATTAAAAGATGCAAATGGTTGATTAAGCTTAGTCCTACAATTTGACTTTTTAAATTTTGCAAGTGAGTTGATTTGGCATCAAACAGGGGATTAGCTGAGCCTTTGGACCTCGAAGTCCCCAAAACCATCAAATTAGTCCCCTAGGAAGGACAGACAACGGCGACCATGGACGCCGCCGCGGCCGATCTCGAGGCGCGGCAGCTGCGGATCCTCCGCCGCGTCGCGGACCTCGAGCTCGCCGCGCAGCAGCACCGCCTGGGGGCGCTATCTATCTCCGCGGCGCCCTCGGGGGGCGAGGCGGAGACGGGCGCCACGGAGGCGCGGCTCTCCTCCATCCTGACCGCGCGCGGCGTGCTCGACTTCACCTTCCGGCGCGTGCCCGCCGACTACTACGACCGCCCTCTCGAGGAGCGCCGCGACCTCCTCCGCGCAGATTCAGTCAATCAACTCTGCAAGAGCATCGTCATGGTACGGGCCTTCCTTTTCCTTCCCGTGCGGCATTTTGTCGAACAGTTGGCCTGCGTAACGTCGGCTTGGAGATAGCTCTTTGGATTTGTGTTATCAGTAACTTTTTAGGGTTTTAGACACAATGGTGTCGTCGGTGAGGTACAAGATAATGACTTGATACTTTTTGTTAGCATGACGTGGTAATTGGTAACATGATAAATTGGAAATTGCTAGGTAGTGAACTATGAAAGAAATGGTTTAAGTTGAAGTATACAGCAGAGAAGGATAGCTGTAGAGCTGCTCCTTGTGATTTGGTTTCAGCTGGACTGTTGATAGATGGGAGCAGCTTTATATATTAATATTTTTAACCAGTTGGATCAACTTGGTCGAGAGCAGCTTCAATATTTTGACATCAAAATGTTCTCTGTTTTCATGGCATTTGTAGAGAAGAGGGTGTGTACTGCTAAGCAAGAAATGTTGTGCTTTTGAGCACTCTTAGGAATATTTGCTCAGCTATACATGAAGTTTTGAGTTGCATTGAACTTATTGACATTCTTCTCAACTTTAGATTCAGAAATGCAATATGGACCGAACTTCACTGCCTATCAGTGCAGTATTTTATTTATTGAAATTTAACTCTTTTATATTTGGCTAAAACAACATTAATGGGAGGAGGGATGTGCAATATTTTGTTATCTGACCGTAGAGCCACAATTTCATGTTTATGCCAACATATCTGTAAATAATGAAGCCTTTGTGTTAATGCTGATGTTGAAGTTACCTATTAGGTGAATACACAAGCTGCTGCAGATGTTGTTGACTGCAGCAATCCAAAGAATTCAAAATATTATGTCGTTGTTGTTCAGGTAAACTGTAAGTTTGATCTCAACACACTATCTTCAAATTTAATTAGTACATTTTATCTTCACACGGATATATTTGCAGTATATGGCACGGCTTAATGCAGACAGCATCAAGAACTTCATCTATTCCCTAAACGAGAAGCAGATACCCAAGAAGAGATTTAACAGTAAGATTTATAATAATATATTGAAACAAATCTAATCTCTACAAATGCCACCGATAACCTTTTATTGGTCATCAGCATTCAAAGCTTCCATGAAATCCCTCGAAGGTTTTCTCCCATCCTTAGTGAGGTATATACCTCCCTACTATTTATGAGGTAAAAAAATAAACCTGTTGAACTGATCAGAAGACAAGTTCATAATTGGCAGTGGCAAGACTTTTAGTGTTAGTAGAGAGGAATAGGTATGTATCTCTTGACTAGCACAAATACCTACACCTCTAAAAAAACGTAAGAGAAGGTCAAGAACATATATAAAGATGAGTTCACAATCCTATTCTAACCTATAAGATTAGTTCTGGTACCTCTCCATGGAATGCTATATCTGAAGTATGAGGAGGAATATACCTCTCACAGGATGGGAGAAAACCTTAATTCCTGAACAACATGGTATGCTGTGAATTGGTTTTAATATCAACAACTAAGGCAAGCATCTTGTCTGATGGTTTTTACATACAACAATATTTTTCATACGGTGGTATTTTTTTCACTTTAAGGAAAAATGTGTGACCATGATCAAAGATAAAGGAATGCAGTATATCGTGTGTAGATTTCAGCATCCTGCAGTAATGTTGCCTCTATTATATTTTAGGCATTTCAAGATTTGTAGGTGTGTCTGAAGACCTACTTTTTATGCCAGTTCTATTCTTTAACTCATGTTGTTTACTTGTGTTTGTGCAGTGAGGCTGGCACCAGAAGAGGAGTCACTCAAGCTTACAGGGTTTGTTCACAATGCTGTTACATGCATTGGAATGGAAACAGACATACCGGTATAAATGTTGCCTCTAACTTTAGGTTTTATGTCATAAGGGTCAACTTCAAATGGGGAGATCTTGCAAGAATATAAGGGATAATCATGTTTTTGCACGCTCATATATAAAACTCTGTACTTTACAAATCCTGTTAAACCTTTCTTGAATTCTAACCCTGTCTGCATTATGTCTGGTGACATATATGGTTGGTTTCATTTTCAACTCTGAGTAGGACAAACTGTCTTATCAAGTTACACTTCTGATAGATTGCATTTTACGCGTGGATGTTTTGAGTTCTTGTATTTCTTGTTTCTCTGGAAAGAGAGGGTACATATATTTTGAAGCTTTCAAGGCATCTGATACAATGAGTTTCTACACAGGTTATCATTGATGAAGCTATTACCAAGTTAGATAAGGATTTCTTCTGGCTGGGTGGTGGAGAAGTTGACCTCAAGCTTGGGGTGCGGACCTCACAGTTCCTAAATGCATTCAAACCATTTGTGGTGAAGTGTAGTTAGTGATAACTGTACAACGGAAGAGAAACTTTGAATCCATGTGGTTTTACCATCTTGATGAACACATGAGACATCGCCAGGGATGTAAACCAATAGGTTTTTGCTTGGATCTGGGGTTGGGATGTCTGTCTTTTTTAGAGCAGGCGTTTCTGTTCCAGTTGCACTTCTCGCATTAGTTACACTATTTTGGTAAGATTGATGCAGCAAAGGGGGCATTCTTGGGAGAATTGAGATAATTGGCACAAGTGGGCATGTACTAAAAACCTTTGTAGTTCGTGCCTTCAATATACTAGGATTTACTCTCAGTTTTGCGTTTCTAATCAGACACCTGGCTACAAGTTTGTTTTTTTCTTCTGATTGCTGAATGGTGCCATACAATTGTTCTTTTGAGGTGATGTTGTTTGGGGGCTTTGGAACTAGTATCGTTGATTCAAGAGCTTGTGCTGGTCTGCTGGATCAAACATGAAGAATGCAAGAGGCTGGAGCCTGACTGATGGAACGTGTACAAAGCTCCATCTAAGAAAAAAGGAACTCAATAAGCAGGGACTGTTTGTTGAAACTTGAAAGTTCTGAACTTTTAGAAAGCCCTTTTATTATGCACTGTACTCTGTACAACACGTTTTGCTTGACTTCAGCATAAACTGTTGACTGCGCTCCAGGTGCACAACATTCACGAAACATTTACTCCAAATAGTCTCGGTCTTCTGGAGCTAGGTTTATTTATTAGCCAATGACGAGCCTAGGGAACTTGATCTCAGAGACTCTAGTACTCTATCATTAACCACAAAATATCAGCAGCTCTGTCGTCTGAACCAAGAAAGGTTAAGATCATACTGTGCGGTGCCGACCGGCCTGCTGAGCGCGTTTGTTTCGCATGGAGGGACATATGTAAGATCAACTTTTTGATTCTGTTTGTGGGATTCTGAGAAGCAATTGGTGACAATCTGGAAAAGCTAGGGTTACTAGCTTCTAGTTCATCTCGATTCTATATTTACAAATTCTCATAATCTAGGTAAGAATATAGACTGCATGTTTGGAGGACCTGAAGATTCTAGGAGATGTTGCGGCTGAACTTCCCTAAACAGGTCCTTTGTGAGGAGACCAGTGCAGGAAATAGATCCAACATATGTAATTGGTAACGAAAACCACCTTCAGCAAAGGGCATGCACATTGCAAACTCATGTTTTGATTCACTCATGCCTCCATATTTTGTAATCCTATATATACAACATCACAGGCTTGATGCTTGATGGGCTAAGTAAATCGGAGAGATCTGACGCTACATACTTCTGACCAGTGATCACACTATCAACAGCGAACTGTTTTCTCTCGATATATGCCTCCAAAATTTGGCCAATTTATGTGAAAAGGCCGAACATGCTATCGATTTGGCATTTTTGCAACTGGCTACCTGTTGTGAACAGCTGGTGCTGTGTGTGCAACTGGGTAGTCCATGGCTGCTAGGGTTTCCGCGGTGTACGCAGTGGTCGCCGGCTTTGATCCTACTTGCTCTCTGTTAGTCTCAGCTCCTAGCACCGAACGCTCTCGCGCAACCGACCTCACCTACATTATTTTTGCAGAAGGGGATTAAGAAGAGGGCCAGATACCCAGTTTGCTATGGGGATTAAGAAGGGAGCTTGCTATGTGTATATGTGAGATCTCAGACTGAAATGCTTGCATATATACATACCTTGGTTCCTTCAAACCGTTTATTCAGAGAGCCAGAAGAACTCCCTGCAAATCACACGACCACTTGCTATGAAACAATACTACCAGGAATGATCAATCAAATTTGAGATCGAGGGAAAAAGAGATGGGAGTATATAAGATTAGCATGTTCCATTCGAGCTATATATCAAAATTAACTCCCTGTAGCCAAGCTATAGCTAGCACTCAGTCTGTCAGTTTGCAAATGAGTGTTTGTAGATAATTTTACTAGCTAGTAGCTAGTGAGGCTCACAGCGGGGGAGGGCTCTCATCAAAACATGCACACGTACGTGCATTATGTGTTCTAGTGCTAGCTAGGAGGCACAGCTAGAAAAACATACAGGCTAGATAGGATTATACTAGACAGATTACTAGACAATCAGAGGGATGGATAGCATTGACATTATATCATGTCATCAGTTATGGCACGGAGTATGGGTTTTAGGTTGAGCATAATCCAGGTGAATTCCCTGATCATCCTCGTGCTTCCGATGACGAAGCAGCTGTTGCGAAACCCTAACAGCGGGTCCAGTATTTCGAACTCCACCTGATGATGCCGCCAATTCCATCTTCGCATTCAGCGTCACCTCCTTGCCCACTGATTGATCGATCGGCTGCTTGCTCCCAACAACATCGTCTCCAGCCACATCCTGCGTGATACAGAGAAAAAAAAATCAGGAATGAGAAAAAATAGTTCCATAACAATGATCATATATCTGCTGTGACCTTGGGAACCAGGGAAGACTTCTTGCTCGAGTACTTGTCACTGATACGGAGGTGATCGTGACGAGCTTCACATGAGATGATACAGAGAGTGAAGAGGAAGACGATGAACAGGAGAATGGTGGTGCTGGTGTTGAGCTTTAGCTTCCCATTGAGAGTTTGCGGAGAGCTTTGGCTAGGCATGGAGCAGATAGCAGTAGTGGTTCACTCAAGTGGATATATATACAAGAAGCTAGAGAACATGGAAGGGTCTGGATATATGATATGATCGAAATAGATAGAAGTGAGAAAGGCTTGCACTGTACTGCTCGGAGCTCACCCAATGCTTCGAGGGGTTTGCTAGAACTGAGGGAGGAAGGGACCATGTGTGATAGGTTTACATTGGAGCAATATATACAACTGCAGAACGACATCGGGGTATGTTCAGAATAGTTTCTTCATATGACAAGTTGTAAGACAAATGCACCTTTGTTTTTTTTTTTGGCATTAACAGCTCTGTTTCTGGAATGGGTTACAATAACTTTTGACCATTTTCTCCACTGTTTTAGCAGCTGAAATTTGTGATTGGAAAGGGATATAATATTAGAATTATTGCATCATATAAGAGGGTCAATGTGTAAATCTTACTAGAGAAAATCCAAAATGCCATTGACAAATTCTCCATGTTAAGAAAAGCTATTGACGAATGTAACTTTTAGGAAATACCATCATATGAGTCATACCATTGTTATCAGATTCCATCCATTACTCTCCATTAACCCTATCGCATTTTTCAAATGGGCTAACAGAGTAGAGTTAACGGATGGAATCCTGATGGTGATGATATTTTTGAGATAAGTTGACTCGTATGATGATATATTCTGGAAGTTGAATTCGTTGATAACATTTCTTAGAATGAAGTCCTTGTCAATGCTTTGCTAATATTATTTTTCTAGAGGTAAAATATCTTAGCAGATCGGGTTTAAATTAAATGCTTTGTGACTTAGTAATTCCACTATACAACGTGCAGAAAATCACAGTAATGCAGAAGTACTAACAGTACGTATTAAACTAAGCATTCATGTCACGCGTAACAGAGATAAAATCTTATAGGTGAAGGAAGAATGGGGCATGCATGCATGCCATGTACTATTGGTTATGAAGAGAACCGAGGCAGAGTCATCTCCTCGACCGCACATGAATGTCTCGATCCGTCCCCTTTCTTGAGGCTGTTATACAAGTACAGATACGTGAATTTTGTAGGCAAGCCGTGGTTAATTCCCAGAACATCTCTTGATCATGTGCATTGCAATTATTACACGCAGTGCGATCCACTGTTCTAGTTGTTGCTAGCTACTCCTAGCTAGCATGGAGCTGGTCCATATATATCACCTAAACTGATAAACTAAGCACAGTTTACATCCTCGATGTAACCAAGTTGGCATACTTAAGCCGTACTACTTTACTGTTGTTTGTTATTTTGTTGGTTCCAGTGTTGCCATCGCTGGCTAGTTAAACCGTAACGTTGACATGTCTGAACTAGTATTTTAGTAGAACGCCACAGACAGACCCCCAGCCTTTGACATTTCTGAATTACTCCTCCTCAGGTACAATGTACTCAACTGTACACCGGCTTCACTGGCTACGTATATATGGATCGATGTTAAACAGTCAAAGGCATGGTGAACAGCTGAACAACGATTGTGTTGCAAAGTGGGCGTGCAGGTTAATGTCAGGTACAGTAGTCAGGTGTGTGTGGAAGCTGGAGCTGACAAACGCGCGCGGCTAGACGCAAGGAGACAAGCGAAGCAGTCAGAGCAGCGGTGCACGCGGTGCGCGCGTGGATCTGGGAACGGGAGGCACGGCTGGCTTCGGTGGTGTGGCCTTGGCGAGGCAAAACGCATGGCGCCCCGGCCGCGCGGGGGCGGGGGGGCGTGGGAGAAAATGCCGGGAAAAGGACGGCAATTGCACGAGGGGGTTGAGAGAGAGACGGATCGAGATCGCGCTTGCCTCGCCGTGTCGGCCGGCCGCGCGCCTCCCGCTCGTTCCCCGGTACGCGCGCGTACGTACACGACTACGTGTGCGCGTGGCTGCGTGCTGTGTCTACGTACTCCTGCCACGCGCTCCTCGCCGCGTTTCGGTACCGTGAACCCGCGTTCGCGTAGCGCGGTATACTAGTTGGTAGCTAGCGCCGCCGTGGCGCGTCGCGCGCGTTGCTCCGTCACGTTGTCTCACAATCGCGCTCGAGCGAGCACGTACGTACGCGACGAGCCGTGCGCTGCTCCAACTCCCAACTTCCCAAGGCATAGCTTTGCCTTTACGCATTCCGGTACGGGTAGGTGTAAGATCTGGTTCGTTAACAAACACGCGAGGATCTAGCAGCAAACTGATGATAAGAATGTAGGAGTAAGATACGGTAGCGGGTCATATCACAACGTACTAGTAATATACCCGGTGTAACTCTATTTGTCTTTAATAATTTTTAAAATTTTCATGTTAGCAAAAAAATATTACTATATGAACTATACATTTGAGCTTTAATTCAATTTACTTCGTACATCAAATATATTTAACATAAAGTATAATAATATGATATACCAATTGATGCAGATATATAATGCATATATATGTGCCCCATGTCATAATGCATAATAATATTATATTAAAGATATATGATAATGCGCATATCTGTGTCTTAAGTCATAATGCATAATAATATGATATATAATGCATATATCCGTGACACGCAAAATAATTTACAATGGCGTTGATATCAATATTTATTCATCTCACAAGCGTCATTTCTGTATGTGGTGTGCGTGTGTGTATATATCTGCGTCATTATAATGCATCACCAGTGGGTGATATTTTTTTTATATAATATAGTGCATTTTCATATTATAATTATTTTTCTATTACATGCCCATGCTAATGCTATGGGATGACATTTGATAACTCAAATTGAAAAAGATATAACATCATAGTGACTTGTGCTCCTTCCTGTGGGGTGCACTTCTTTTTTAGGCTTTGCCAAAATCTTTGTCGTTTTTCTCGACACCCCTCTTGATAATGCAACATAAAGTTGCCCATGCGAGAATACAGGCTCTGGAAGATAGATACCGACATTCGGGATGGTTTGTCCCTGTGATTTATTAATTGTCATTGCGAAACTTAGACGTATTGGAAATTGCTTTCTCTTAAACTTGAAAGAAAGGGAAATATCATCTGAAGGAGACAGAGAGATCCTTGGTATGAACACCCTTTTTCGTGCATGATGTCCACCAACGATTTCAGCATCAATTGCATTGTCTTGGAATGCCCTGATCATTAATCTTGTTCCATTGCATAATCCATTGTTAGGATCAAGGTTGCGGAGGAGAATAGCATGGTAGTTGACCTTAACTTTCAGCTCATGTGGAGAGAGGCCATTTAGAGTTATCGTGTTAAGAAAGTCCAAAGGGTAGTTATTTTGGGAATCATCATCAACAGAATCAAAGCTATGGTAAATCTTTTCCTCGCCAAGAAACCTGTCGATCATCTTCCTGTTCAGCTTATCCACGAAATCATTTTCTGTTGAGAGAATGGCCCGTGTGCTCATATATTCCGCGGAGGTTGTATATCTCTCATCATTGAGTGAGGGGAACACATATTCACATATTCAATCAGTGCGTTCACTGAATCTTCAATGTCTGCATAACCAATGACAATTTCATCAGGCTGACGGACATAATCATCTTCGATCGTATTTTCCGTCCCGTTAACACCGCTAATATCAGCATGATATGACTCGTATTGACCTCGGTTCATTGATTAATTGCAGTTGGGTCTATAAAATTTCGCTGAGTTTTCACATTGAACATGTGGGGACCTATACTAACATATAACCTTGTGGTCACCATTGTACAAGAAGAGACAAGACACTGCATGCATTTAAAAACACACACAAATTAGCTCATGTAAAGATGAAACATTTACACAGTATCATTCACTGTACACTAATTCTATCTTACTATAAAGTTATCCCCCACTAACTCCTTAAGCTTAACATGCAAAGATGCCACATTATCATCCACTAACAAGATGGTACATCATCATCCACTAACAATCATCACATTTAAACATCAAGCAAACATGCTATATCTTTATAGTTTTTATAATTTAAGAGCTTTTCAAATACAAACATGTTAAATTATTATCCAACATAATTCACATAATGTTCCAATGTATATCTTTATTATGTTTTATGATATCCTATAAACTTATATAGCTCATCCTCACTTAGTTAGTGCTTAAATGATTAATCTAT